ACACAATAAAAACGAGCCCACAGGTGATCCAGATATTAAAAAGTTATTAAACCTGGACTTGAAGAAATTAGATAATAAAACACAGAACTTCCCCCACAGAAACAAACTACAAGGGTACTTATAAAAGTTTATAGAAAAATATAATTAAAAGATGAACTCAGTACAGAAAAATATTTGAAATCCATGTAGTTCTTCCACAATGTACATCTTCCACGAATCTTTTGAACATCCTTGCTGTACATGAATTTCAAAATTACATGCACCAAAATTAACTTACTTTTTAATTCTGTTTTACATAAATGTCTGGAAATTCCCTTGTATAATGAAATGATATTCTAAAACTAAAAGAAAAAAATGACATTTGCAATTAAAATCAGTCTTGAGGTAGGCATCTGGCCTAGTGGTTTAGACGCTGGCTAAGGCCCCAGCATCCCATACTGAAATGTCTGGACTCCAGCCCCGGTTCTAGCTCAGGCAGTGAATTCCTGGCTCCAGGCTGTGGCCTTAGCCCAGCTCTGGCTGCTGTGGCTACATGGGGAGTGAACCAGGAGATGGCAGACCACTCTATCTCTTGAATAAAGAAAAATTAAAAAATTCAAATCTTCATAGAAGGGACTGAAAGCAGAACAGACACATCTCCAGAGAGGAACAGTGACCTGGGAGGTAAACCAAAAGCAAATACTGAGCATGGAGCATGGAGAGGAAGAAGGAGTTTCAAAAATCACCATGTGAAGGTCTAACACCTGGGGAAACTAGGATCTATAAAGAGGAAGAGAGAAAACGAGGAGGAAGCAGTATTTGAAGACACAAAGGTTAAGAGTTTTTGCAAACTGATGTAAAGCACCAAATCCTACTTTCCAGGAGTACTACAACCCAAAGAAGGATAAATACTCAAGAAAACCCATTTAGGCACAGTGCTTCAAAGCCAAAGCTGGAGAAAATTTAAAAAGGAGGCAGAGGGGAAAAATAAAACCACATTACCTGTATAGCTGACTTCATAACAGAAATAAAGAAGCCAGAAGACAATGGGATAGCATCTTCAAAGGGCTGGGAGAAAGGAACTGCCAACCTACAATTTTATAATAAGTGAAATTATCCACCAACACTAGAGGCCAAACAAAGGCATTTTTAGACAAACAAAATTGCAGAGAATTTGTCACCAGTGGATTTGCAGTAAAGGGAATAATGGAGCAAATTCTCCAGGTGGAAGGGAAATGACCCTGTGTGGAAACACAGGAAAGGGTGGGGCTGACCCTAAGTGAACAGCAACGGCGTGAAACACGACTGGGACTGAGACTGACATCTACGCAGAATTAAAACCCACAGCCAATGATTGGAGAACAAGGTAAATGAAGTTAAAGTGTCCCAAGATTCTTGTGCTAGACAGGAAGAGCTACACAGAACCACCTACCTTAAAGAAATAATAAAAAAAAAAGCATAGTAAATGAATGTACAATCAGTAAACTAATCAAGGGGAAGGAAGCAGAATTTGACCAATGCATTGAATCTGAAAGAAGGCAGAGAGAGAGTAAGGAACACTACCATGTGTACAACACAGAAAACAAATACTAAGATGGCAGAATCAAACCGCATCACATCAGTAACGACATATAAGTAGACAAAATACTCCAGTCCAGGAAAAAACTGTCACACCAACATACAACCCCCCGCCCTGAGACACACAGACCCAAAGAACAACCACAAGCTCACAAGACACACGCGAAATATAAGCATGCAGAAAAAGTGAAAACAAGAGGATGGGAAGAGCTGGATCATACACCCAAAGCACAACAAAGTCGTCTACACAGAAAATGAAACTGCACAGAGATAGGGGAAGACCTACATAAATGGAAGAATGTGCCCTCTTCACAGATTACAAGACTCAGGAACACAAAATTATCAATTCTCCCCAAATTGATTCAATAATAATCCCAATTTAACACAGGGCGTTTGTCTGTGGAAATTGACAGGCTGAAACTAAAGTTTATGTGAAGATGAAAAGGGCCAAGAACAGTCAATAAGAATGTGAGAAAGACTAACACAGCTGGTCTCACCAGACATTAAGACTTGGAACAGAAGTGTAGTCCTTAGGAAAATGTGGTACTAACAGAATAACAGGGATTAAATCCACTGAAAATAGGTGCACCTACGCATGCATGTTCAGGTGACAACCACACGGCATGGAAGACCACTGGGCAAAGAACGGTCTTTTCCATCGCTGCTGTTGCGCCAAATGAGTAGCTGCGTGGAACACAGGGTGAACCCCTACCACACACACACACAACTCAGCTCCACATGGATCACAGTACTAACTATGACAAGTGAGATAATAAAGTTCCAGAATATGACAGTACCTTCATGACCTCATACAGTCTCAAATGTTTAAACAGGACACAAAAAGTCTTAACCATACAGGAAAAGAATGGCAAATTTGTATCAAAATTAGAAAACAAATCACCCAGAAACAACTTTAAGAGGATAAAAAGGCAAGTCACAAGATACAAGAAATAGATATCTAAGCAACAGATAAGGAAAAGATGGATAACCCAAGTTTTCAAACATTGGCAAAACATACAAACTTTGTAAAACAGCCATTAAACATAGAAAACTTCAGTGGCATAGTTCATCAGAGAAACGTAAGTTAAATCCATAATGTGACACTACTACACAGCACCAGAATAGCTAAAATTAAAAGGCTAACAAGGGGCCGGCGCTGTGGTGTAGCGGGAAAGCCACCACCTGCAGTGCCAGCATATGGGTGCTGGTTCGAGTCCTGGCTGCTCCACTTCTGATCCAGCTCTCTGCTATGGTCTAGCAGTACAAGATGGCCCAAGTCCTTGGGTCCCTGCACCCATGTGGGTGACACAGAAGAAGCTCCTGGCTCCTGATCCGTTCAGCTCCAGCCATTGCGGTCAATTGGGGAGTGAACCAGTGGATGAAAGACCTCCCTCCCTCCCTCTCTCTCTCTCTCTCTCTCTGTCTAACTCTAACTCTAACTCTAACTCTAACTCTGACTTTCAAGTAAAGAAATAAAATCTTAAAAAAAAAAAAAAAACCAAGGATGTAGAACAAGCGGAATTTTCAACATTGCTCAAAGTATACTGAACAGACAGAGTCTTTGGGCGAGCAATCCACTCCCAGGTATGCATCTTGAAAATGTTTACTTGCTCTCACTAGACAACTCATACCAGAAATGTTCATAATAGTGATTTTTTTTAAACAACCCAAATTTCCATCCAAGGTTTAAAGGCTAACAACAGGCACATTTGTACAATAAAACACTCTAGAAAACAGTGGAAATAAAAAGACTACTACTTGTCCTGTGAAGGAGTCTCACAAAAAATAATGCTCTAAAGGAGCTAGACACAAGGGGACACATACTGTATGGTCCCATCTGTTCAGCGTTCAATAACAGGCAAAAGGAAATTGATGCTGTTAGAAGCCATCAGAGTTTGCCGAAGGAGAGGCTCAGAGATCAGGAGGGGTACAAAGGAACATCTGGGAGACCAAGAATGTCCTATTTCTTAACCTTGGTAGAGGCTTCTTGGGTGCATCCAATTTATGTTATTTAAGAGGCAGTGAGACAGAGAGAGATACAGACAGATGGAAAGATTGTACATCCACTAGTTTATTTCCTAAACATCTGTAACGACCAGGACTTGGAGTTGTGTATCTTATCTGGGTTTCCTACATATGTGGCAAGGACCCAACTACTTGAGCCATCCATTACCTATTGGGTCCCAGGGTGCACATTAGCAGAAAGCTGGATTCAGGAGCAGAGCAGGGGCTCAAACCCAGGTACTCTGACACGGGATGAGTGTCCCCAAAAGCATCTCGGCCACTAGGCCAAGCACCTGTCACAGGGTACATACAATTTGTGGTAACTTATGAAGGCATTCACTTAAGACATATGCTGTCTTTGGTATATACTATAATAGTTTATATTTCAAAAGCAAAAGTCAAGCAGTAATACTATATAATAAAAAGCAATAATCCCAAATCCTCCCTTCCCCATCTGAATCCCACTTCTAGAGTGGCTCAGTTTTAGTTTTCTTCCAGTATTTCATAGTTTTGGGTAATCTGCTTACATTGAATCTCCACAGTTTTTCACTTTTCAGTATGTTTAGACTTCTCACTATGGTAACATTTGCTATTTGGTATAAGTTTCTGCTTTTCTTAGCTGATGGCTACACAATCTGGTCCTTATAGAGACTCCTGTTCAGGGAGTCTCCTGGCTTCAGGGGCAGTAGGCATCACCAACACTCAATCAATTATCCCTGATCCCCACCCCGTAACGGGGCAGCACAAACAAGTTTGCCTCTCATTGGCCTCCCCAGCCCCGGAGACCCGGGGGTTTGTATCCATTTGGCTTCAAAGGTTACCACTCATCTAGGTCCTTCCATCTTTGCAAATTTCAGTGACATTTTATTTGCAGTCATTCCTTCTCTTTAGCGGGATTTCAGAAATCATGGATAGATCTGGGCATGTGTAATTACTATTTAATTATTCTTTGCTTATAAGCCTATTAGGGGTGAGCCACAGATGCTTCAGGGAGATCATATTTTATTAGTTTTTCAATACTGAACATCAAGCCCCAAAGGAGGACATGGAGAGTACTTGAAAAATATGAAGGTACTTCCAAAAGTTAATGGAAAAAGAGAATTAAGAGATAAGTTTATTTTGGTACCAAATTTTTTTTGAAATGCATGCATTCAAGGGGTCTTCCGAAAGTTTCCAGAAAATGTGTATTTTGAAACCCATGCAATGTTTATTCACAATATGTATTTTCTGCTAACTTTCTGGAGATGCCTCATATGCACAGATTTCAAATTTCTTAGCACCAAAATAAACTTATCTTTTAATTCTAGTGTTCCCTGTGAGCATTTTAGAGTCTGCTGTATGTAATGAACTGCTGGGGACATAGAGTCAGGCTTATTTGACAACTCCGTGACCTCCCTCCCCAGACCCCTAAGTGGTCTGCACCAGGCCCACGGTCTCACCTGTGTAGTGCTCATTGCCTTGGGCAGCACAGGTGAGGAGCTGCGCCATGGAGGAGCCCACTGCCTTAGAGGTGCTTCCCAGGTCCTGTGCACACTTCTCCAGCTAGAAGAACATCCAAGGAGCAAGAGAACTTAGAAAACAGGTGTCCTGAGGTTTTAGTGCAATTCAGAAAAATAATGCAGCCCAAACCTTGAGCCCTAGCTCCTTCCCAGTGCATACATCTATGGTGTTAAACAAGAGGAGCAGTTGGCTACAGAGGAGAGAGCACAGCTGTAGACAATCCGGATACAAACGCCTGCCCCTTGCCTCCAGTCACTTGCTGTGAGAGACTGGGCGAGTTCCTGCACCTCACCAAGCCTGCTTCCTGAAGAGATCATAACACTGAGGCTCAGGTTTTCAGAGAACTAATGTCAGTTCTCAACAAATGGCAGCTATTAGTATTATACCTTTAGAAGCGAATTTAGAAGGTCTGCAACAAATCCTTAGTGGGGATTAATTATGCCTTAGCAGGAAGTGGGCACACATCCAGCTGTGCCACCTTCCTTGACATGGGGGACCATCAACCTTGCTCAATTGGATCATTACACTTGGCACGGCTCCAAGTGAAAGGAAACACAATGGAAAGAGATCTTTGGTGAGATAACTGGGATTACGGAAATGGGCATGGTGTTTGCTTCCCACGAACAGTGTGTCACCCTGTTTAGTAAACCAAATAAAACAATCAAAGAACAGAGTTGATCAAGGCCTGGGGTGTGGATAATTACTTGATGACGACATGAGGGTAACATTTTGGAAGAAAATTTCTGGGTGAACCACAAGAGTACACAAAGGCTTCCGGGAACACTTGTATTTTAAACCCCAGAAGCTGTTTCCCAGGAGAGAAAAGTGCCTTCACAAATAAGCAAGCTAGCCACCAATAACATGGTGCACACACCTTTCAAAGCTAACCATTTCTTTCAAAGTTACATGGTGTTTCTCACATTCTAACTGTTCTGTTCTTGCACATTAAGGTAAAATTCGTGCCAGGCCAGTCTTTCCAGGGTTCACTGGGGTACAGGTGTTTGCAGAGACTCCCAGATGCCTTTGCAAAGCTGCCGACCCCAGAATCAATCCCAAATCTGTCATTAGCTGGATGTCCCTATTTAACTGACTCACCCTCTCTGAGCCTGTTTCTCCATCTGTATAATTAGGGGTAACTGGATGTAACAAATGTTTTCTGACTACTTCCTGTGTATCAGGCTCTGATGAGATGCTCCTCAAGTTACTTTACATGCTAAAATAGTTTTGTTCATTCAAAGAGCAGCGGTAGTTAAGGGTAGTGGCTTGCAACACGAAGGACCAGGAGCCTGGGGTTGAAGATCTAGATTCAGACCTTGGTTCAGTCACTAACTGATAGAACAATGACAAGCTCTGTGCCTCAGTTTCCCCAGCTGTAAACGGGGATCATAGAGCCTGACTGTGAAGGTTGCTATCAGGATAAGCTGGACTGTGTGCTTTTATAGTATTTAACAGGTACTTAATAAATGGTGGCATTTTGTTGGCAATGTTCAGGAAGGTGAGAAAACAAGTATATGCAGATGAAGAGGACAGTAACATTTGACCAAGAGCACCCTAACACGAACATTGGGGGTATCAGAATCGGATCATTTTGTTTGCCATGGTGGTATCATTGAATTAAAGGTGTTGTGCATCCCAGCACTTTGCATTATGTCATTTATTTCTTAAAACTCTGGATTGTAGATCATCTTTTCTGTGTTTACCAATATGACCTCATTGCCACCATCTCACAGGAGACGGGACTGCTGAATAGCTAGCTGATGATACGGCTGGGTCTGGAAGCCGGAATTCCTGTCTCTGAATCAGTTCCTCCCGTTGCACTGGGCATTCTTTTCAGAAAAAGGACCCAGGATAGAACGCTGGCCAGCAACAGGAGCATTGCTTATGAAGAAGAATAAACATTCATAGAGGTCAGGTCATTCTTGGCCAAATATTAAAAAAGGCCCGACGGACTCCCCAACAGAGGACTTCCCAGGGGGATCGCTGTCTTAATGCACTCCTAATGCAGTATAGTTGTCACCCCTACAACTTCCAAAGCCTCCCCAGTACCACCCTGACCACGGAAAAAACCCCCAGCCTCACAGGAGCAGCAGACTTACCGTTTCCCCAGGCAGTGGTTTGAGCTGACTTTCCACGGCTGCCATCTTGGCATCCTGCAGCTCATTCTTAAGGGTCTGTACTGTGTTCAGAGCTGAATCGATTTCCATAGGGCCACAGGCTTCATGGGCCTGCAACAGAGGGATGCATAGGTGACACTGTCTGCTGGGGAAATGCACCCCAGTACTCAGTGACACATGATATGCCTGATATGCCTTTGTGGACAGACCCAGTGATTTTCCAAAGCCTGCAGTAGGAAACCAGAATGGCAGGTGTTGCCCAAGACAACAAAGTCATGCTCAGTCAGGACCTTCTACGTATATCTCATGAATGAATACATTTCTATCCTCCTTGAAGCCACTTTTATCCAGAAAGCATTTGCTTGTCAGACTCGGAGGCTCTGGGTTCTAGAGAAAGGATACCCAGCTCAGTATGTGTGCAGATGCAGACTTGGGAAGGAGGTAGTAAATGAAGGCATGAAGAATCAAACCCAGAACTCTGGGAACAAGTCTCCATCAACCTTATGACAATCTTTACAGATTCCTGGAGTGCACGTCATTATCCTTTAATAAAGAAGATTACAAAAGTGCTTATCCTTTGGTAATTTGTTTAAAGAAAATGACTTTATTCTCTTGAGCATTAACAACACTGGTCTCCAAATGCTTTAACGGCATGCCCCCGACACACACCTGTCACTATATTAAATGCACACACAGTTACTGATCAGTGTACTGAATACTGGGAAGTCATCATTTCTTTTCTCTTTTAGGTGATAGTAACTACAGTAGGAGTAAGTATTAATTAATTGATTTGGTTTTTATTATTTTTTACAGGCAGAGTGGACAGTGAGAGAGACAGAGAGCAAGGTCTTCCTTCCATTGGTTCACCCCCCAAATAGCCGCTACAGCCAGCGCTGTGCTGATCCGAAGCCAGGAGCCAGGTGCTTCTTCTGGTCTCCCACGCGGGTGCAGGACCCAAGCACTTGGGCCATCCTCCACTGCCCTCACAGGCCACAGCAGAGAGCTGGCCTGGAAAAGGGGCAACCAGGACAGAATCCGGTGCCCCAACTGGGACTAGAACCCGGTGTGCCGGCGCCGCTAGGTGGATTAACCTAGTGAGCTACGGCGCCGGCCTAATTAATTGATTTTTATGTGCCAGTACTACTAGGGGAGAAACTGAGGCACGGAGAGCTCAAATCAGTGGCTTGGGCTATAAAATCAGTCAACAGCAGGACCAGAATTTAAATGCAGGCAGTGGGATGCCGGAGCCTGGATGCTTAATCTTTACCCTGTATTTAGAAATGTCCATAGCTCTCAGTGTCCTCCAAGGACAGTCTTGCTTGTGCCCCATTGTGGGACCCACTGCTCCACATCAGCTGTTTGCTATTACTCCAAATGTAGACGTTCAGGCTCTGTGACCGGATTGTTCAGAACCTGCATCTGAAAAAGCACCCCCAGGTGATTCCAGTGCAAACGGTCTCAGGGTCTCTCTTTTGAGAACCACAGCTCAGAACCTTTATTTATTTTTTCGTTGGATTGAGCCTAAAGTTCTGGATGATTTTCTTTAGCAACGCAATGCACTGTTCAAATTAAGAATTCAAGTCAGTTACTTCCTTCTTAGCCATTTATAGTGCTGCCTGCTTTTATGCAGAGATTGCTACAAGGATGAAAAATGAATTTATGCTAGAACTTCATGCTAACACCACAAATAGAGTAGTAATGAGGTCTTTTGGTAATTAATACATTTCAGAGACAGTAATTTATTTAGTCTTTAATTCTGTTCTACCGAGGACCTTGTTAAGGTTGAAGGTTTCCGTGTAAGATGTTGAAACTTCCAGACAAGAAAGAAAACACACAGGTTGGCATTGTGGTGCAAGAAGATTAAGGTGCCATTTGCAATGTGGGCATTCCATATGGGCACCAGTTCATGTCCCAGCTGCTCCACTTCCAGTCTAGTCCCCTGCTAATGCTCCTGGAAAAGCAGCAGCAGATGGCCCAAGTGCTTGGGTCCCTGCCACCCATGTGGAAGACCCAGAAGAGTGTCAGGCTCCTGGCTTTGGCCTGGCCCAATTTTGGCTGTCATAGCCATTTGGGAACTGAACCAGCTGGTGAAAGATCTCTCTCTCTCTCTCTCGCTCTCGCTCTCTCTCTCTGTGTGTGTGTGTGTGTGTGTGTGTGTATGTTGCAGTCATGCCAATGGGACAAGTCTGCCGAGAACTGGGTAGCACACACACCACACCAGCAGTGAGAATCTAAAAGCTCCACTCCTGCCACACTAACTGCAGTGACCAGGCTAAACTTGCCTTCTGTGAGGCGGTGCGCAGCTCGGCCAAGCTGGTCGCCAGGTTCTTGGCACACTGGCTCAGCTGCATGGCTGCAGCCTGGTCGCTCACGGTGGGCACTGCAGCCCTCGCGGAGGACACCATCTTGCTTCCTGGCTGTAGAGAGAGGAACACAAAGTCAGGTGGCTCCTAGGCAGCAAGAGGTATGAGCAGAGACCCAAGAGAAATGCCTCCCTGGCACACAGAAATTATTTTCCCCTGAGAAAAGGAACATGAAACGTCAGTTACTTTCCTGCTGTCCCTACTCCCCAACAAACACTGCAAGTCAGGTACTGTAAGGCAGTGCATTCTAGAAATGTTAAGAACAGAGAATTCTGTACTAAGTAGGTTTGTGTTTCTTAGGATGGCATTTTCTTGAGTCTAATACACACCCAATGAGCTCTTTGGGAAAATGAAGGCAGATAAATAAAACTAGTAAGTTAACAACATATCTTCCAAGACAAAATAATTTCACCATGCATGGATGCCCGGGTATTTATATACATATTCTCAAAAACAAGATCATACATTTTTTCCTGTCTTACTATCTTCCCATTTCCCGTACTCTACCTTTTTAGTGGCTGTATAGTCGTCCACAGCATGCAGCTGTTGACATGTCTCAATCCCCTACTGTTCAGCATGTTTCCATGTTTTCCATTGTACTAAGGAATAGTAAGTACTTGTATAGCGAAATTTTTGAACACATTTATGATTCTCTTTGCTTGTAAAAGTAGAATTTTAAGGCCCGGTATTGTGGTGTAGTGGGTAAAGCCATCACCCCACATGGGCACCATTTCATGTCCTGGAGGCTTCACTTCTGATCCTGCTCCCTTTTAGTGTGCCTGAGAAAGCAGTGGATGGCCCAAGTGCTTGGGCCCCTGGTACCCATATGGGAGACCTGGATGGACTTCCTGGCCCCTGGCTTTGGGCTAGCACAGCCCTAGCTGTAATAGCCAGCTGGGGAGTGAACCCGTGCATACAAGATCTCTGTCTCTCTGTCTCGTCTCTCCCACTCTCTCTGTAACTCTGAAGTTTCAAAAAAATGAATCTTAAAAAAAAGTAGGGGTCAGCGCCATGGCGTAGTGGGTAAAGCTGCTGCCTGCAGTGCTGGCATTCCATATGGGTGCCAGTTCAAGTCCCAGCTGCTCCACTTCTGATCCAGCTCTCTGCCTAGGAAAGCAGTACAAGATGGCCCAAGTCCTTGGGTCCCTGCACCCACATGGGAAACCCAGAAGAAACTCCTGGTTCCTGGCTTTGGATCAGCTTGGATCTGGCTGTGGCGGCCATTTGGGGAGTGAATCAAATCTCTGCCTCGGCCTCTCTGTAACTCTGCCTTTCAAATAAATTAATAAATCTTTTAAAAAAAGTAAAATCTTAGATCAGAGCATACATACTGCTAAGGTTTTTAGCATATAATAAAGGTACTTCAAAAAGTTCACCCAAGGGGTCAGCACTGTGCTGCAACAGGTTAAAGCCCCAGCCTGCAGCACTGGGATCCCATATGGGTACCCATTTGAGTCCCAACTGCTTGACTTCTGATCCAGCTTCCTGCTTGTGTGCCTGGGAAAGCGGCAGAGGATGGCCCAAGTCCTCGGGCCCCTGCACCCACATAGGAGACCTGGAAGAGGCTTCTGGCTTTGGATCAGCTCAGCTCTGTTGAGGCCATTTGGGGAATGAACCAGCAGATGGAAGAACTCTCTCTCTCTCTGCCTCTACCTCTCTCTGTAACTATGTCTTTCAAATAAATGGAATAAATTTTAAAAAAAGGAGTTTACCCAAAAATCTAATTATAAGTTACTTCTGGTACAAAAAAATTTTAAATCCATGCAATTTTCATGAACTTTAAAAAAAACTTCATTCATAAAATAAATCCCTACTGTAAAATATATGTAGGAGTGGGCGTCTGGCCTGGCAGTTGAGGCATCTCACATTCTACACTGAAATATCCTGGGTTCAACACCTGGCTTTGGCTTCTGACTCCAGCTTCCTGCTAATGTAGACCCTGGGAAGAAGCAGTCATGGCTCAACTCCTAAGTTTTCTACCACCCATGTGGGAGAATCTGGCCCCAACCCAGGCTAGATGTTGCAGGCATTTTGGAGTGTCAACTAGTGGACGGGAGCCGTCTGTCTCTCTGCCTCTCAAACAAATAAAAAATAATAGTGTATACACATTCACACATACATACATGTATATGGTTAACATTTGAGGAAGTTCATAAAAGCTGTCACGTTTTATCTATGCATGATGGCGTGAAAGAACTTGAAATATTAACCAAAAAGATGCATCACTGAGTCCTACAACTATGGGTTGAACCTGGACAAGGAAGAGGAATTGAACTGCATAATTCCATCAACTGCTGAGGATATTCAAGTAGCAAAGAACTGCTGATGGAGAACTTGAGTTCTCAACGATGAGATTATATTCTTTATAAGAACTGGCAGAGAGGAGCTGCTAGGCTCTAAACACAAAGAGAAGGAAATGGAAAAGCCAGTTGCCTGGTTTGATCCGTTTCCACTGTATATGCAGGTGATGAAATGCCACAAGGTACTACATAAAAATACACAAGTATTACATGGTATTCAAAAGCACCAGTTAAAGTTGAGGGACTCAAATATAAAAAGCGTATTAATGGGAGTTTCCCCACAACTCAATATTCTCATTTATTCAATTTTCCTTACAATGAATCTGCCTGAGCTACAGAGACCAAGAAGCCTGAAGAGCTGCACAATTGCCATCGGCAGGATCCCATCGTTGGGAAAGATGCACTCATCGCGTCTCTGCTCCCCACCCGCGAGGAACAGCACTAGGCACTCTGAGCACTGGGGAATCTAAAGCAAGACCCAGCTCGGGGCTGTTCACCAGCAGGTGCGTCGGATGACACATTTGCTCTCCTGGAGGAGAAATACATGTGAGGCTCCTGAGAAAAATGCGTCGTGGGTCTCCGGGCCCAGGGCAATCTCCCTGCATACCAGCATTTTGCTTTGCTACCTACCTCTCTCCAAACTGAAAATGAAAAGAAAAGGCCTTCAAGGCCTGCTAGCTGCAAAGACTCAGCTAAGGCTGTGGACTTCATTCATTCCTCCTCTTAAGGGCAAGGACAGCTCCTGACCCAGCAGGGGCTCTGGGCAAGACCAAGGTCACAGCTCTATGTTACCTGGAGAAAGTTCTGGCTGGAAATGATGAGAGCCAGCTGGGCGCTGAGGTCTTCTGTTTGAGCCTGGCTCCCTCTCACACCCTGGACCAGCTGCGGGATATGATCAGCCACCGCCTGCAGGGAGCAAGGACATCAAAGCTGAGCACAGCCAGAAGGGGAACAATGACCCAAGTGAGTTGTCTTTTGGACGTGCCACCCAGCCCCAGGAGATTACAGTGCTAGGCCGGGGGTCTACACAGCATGTCCGCCCAGCTGGGCCCTTGCCATACCAAACCCCATCCCTCAGTGCTCTCCTCCCACATACACTCCCCCAGCTGGCCCCGAAGGTCTCAACATGTTTGGTTGAAGACGACTCTTGACAATAAGTCCGGGTAAGAATTGCTCTGGCTGCAACTCACTTGCTGGCTCACTAGGTTTGCAAACATAGAAACCAAGAATCTGCACTATTCACAGGTGGATCACTGTAGGCACAGGCTCCCCGGATCAGAGCAGAGCGAGGAGAATCTCTCAGCAACACATTCCATGCTCTGGCTCTGGCTCTGGCTGGGCCAGCGTGCATCCTGGGTGCCAGCTTTCCTGCTGTCACGGCCCCTCCCTCTCTCCTTATTTCTCAAACTAGAAAACCCATGCTCAGGATACAGCACAAGGGAGCAGCACTCTGTGAAGGGGCGGCTGGCAAGTGACCATCACCTGTAGTGCCTTGGATGGCACCCCTTTCCCTTACCCTGTGCTCCTTCTACCTCTCCCCTCTGCACCCACAGCCCTGGATCAACCATGCGCTCGGAGCTGCCAGCACCGTGGCCATCACCACTGCAAAAGGCGCCTGGAGCTTCCTGGCCTTGTGACCCACATTTTCTCCAGGAATCCACTGCACAAGGAGTTAACAAAAAACCCTATTTTTTCCGTGGACTTTTCCTAGGCCCCTTTGAGGCCCGCTGGTTCCAGGGATTGGTTAACTTTCCCTTCACCACTCCAACCTGGGAAACAGAAACCTCCTCCTATCCTGGCAGTGCCCTCAGAGACCTCCTAGAACCCTCAGTCCCTGTGCAAGAGAGAGACAGAGAGGGCTCGTCCTGTGAGGGAAAGCTCCACAGGGCCGAGGGATCCTGGGCCTGCTGTCCCTGAGAACTGCGCAGATAGACAAGGGCTCTCGCTGAGGACGTGGCCTCTGCGACATGAGGGGCAGGCGCTCCTTGATTTTCCTGCCTCCACTTGCAGTGGAACCAAAGCTCAACGGGAAACAAACTCTTCTGCTGCAGAGGCCACGCCCTCAGCGACAGCCCTTGACTTTCTGCGCAGTTCTCAGGGACAGCAGGCCCAGGATCCCTCGGCCCCGTGGAGGTGCATTCTGTCCTTAACATGGTGACTGGCCACGATCGGAAACGGGCAGAGCCAAGAAGTTCCACCTCAAAGGTCACAGCCATTTCTGGGGGCTGGCACTGTAGCATAGCGGGTAAAGCTGCTGCCTGTTTCACCTGCATTCTGTACGTGAGTTAATTTAAGTCCTGGATGCTCTACTTCCAGTCCACTTTCCTGATCATGGCCTGGGAAAAGCAGCAGAAGATGGTCCAAGTGCTTGGGTCCCTGCCATCCACGTGGGAGACCCAGAAGAAGCTCTTGGCTCTGGCTTCAACCTGACCCAGCCCTAGCTGTTGCAGCCGTTTAGAAAGTAAACGAACGGATGGAAATTGAAATAGAAATCTCTCCCTCTTTCTCTCTCTTTAACTCTTTCAAATAAATACATTAAAAAAAAAAAAAAAAAAAAAAAAAAAAAAAGGCCTGCGCCGCGGCTCACTAGGCTAATCCTCTGCCTGCGGCGCCAGCACTCTGGGTTCTAGTCCCGGTTGCTTCTCTTCCAGTCCAGCTCTCTGCAGTGGCCTGGGAGTGCAGTGGAAGATGGCCCAGGTCCTTGGGCCCTGCACCCGCATGGGAGACCAGTAGGAAGCACCTGGCTCCTGGCTTCGGATCGGCACAGCGCGCCTGCCGTAGTGGCCATTTAGGGGTGAACCAACGGAAAAAGGAAGACCTTTTTCTCTGTCTCTCTCTCTCACTGTCTAACTCTGCCTGTCAAAAAAAAAAAAAAAATTAAAAAAGCCATCTCTGAAACAGAAGCAGTGACACCCCTCGTGGATGAGCCATTATTTTACAGAGGTTGGAGGAAGGAGAGAGAGGGTCATCAGTTCTCCTAACGCATGCACAGAGAAGCAGGCCGCCCTGGTCAGCTCCCACTGCAAAGTGCGAACACCTCCAGGGGACTCCAGACAGACCCTCCACCCACTCCCAGGAGAAGGCTGTGCACTCGGATTTTGTGCCTGGCACAGTTCACAGAGTGAACTCCCTGGGCCCTCAGAGAAGGCCACAAAGGTGTTGAGGGTGTATTTCAGTACAGCCTCATCACAGCATCAAAGCCATGGCCCCAGGGAAACACAGGCAAGTGGGCACAACGGCACCAAAGCACCATGTCACAGACGCCACACGGGGCCAGGCCTCGAGGTGCGATTAGGAGCAAGCAGGAGGGAAGCTGCTACAGTCAGTGAACGCTGAAAGCCTCGACCCATCTCTCAAGGAGAGGCACTGCACAAACTCAGTGCTTCCTTCCGGGCTCCGCGTCCTCAGAAGGCCCCGTTGTGGGTCTTCTCTGATTCAGTCTCTCGCAAAGGAGAGAATGTGGACAAAGGAGAGACAACGCCTGAAAGAAACACATAAATCTCCCTCCCAACAGGCCCATCCACTTAGTGGACAGAAACCAGACGTGTGTCCACCTGGAACATGGGAGCAGGAACAAACTGGATTAGGGGCCTGGATAATCTGTCTTAACCGAGTTAGCAGGGCACCTGGCGTTCTGACGCCAGCGGGGTGATCCACAGCGGACCCGGGGGCCAGCATGCGGGCAGCTCACCTTGCAGCTCTGGACCAGCTGCTGCTGGGCTGCGGGGTTCTTGTTGGAGACAGCTGCGTTCTGGGAGGCCGCGATGGTCTGTGTGGCTGCAGCTGCAGCCTGCTTGGCAGCAACCTGCAAAAGAGAATGGAACACGGGAGTCCAGATTTTGTAGCTACAAACGCACACACGCACAGGACGTGCGTCCTCTCCACTCCAGGGCTGGCGCTGGCATGGGTCTGCTGCTCTGAAGGCAACCCAGGAGCAGAGTCTGCCTTCTGGAAATCACGGAGGATTCTAACCTTACAAAGCCCTGTTGTCTTCCTGCATTTCACATTGCCTGGGGCAAGTGATAACGTGAAAAGCTCAAGGTCTGGCACTCATTTGTCTTCCTCAGTGAGACAAGGGACAATGCCAGACCATCATGGCACTGATAAGCAGCTCTCATCTAAATGTTTTAGGGGAAAAAAACCACATCTGCTGCAAGAAGCACAGACTGATCTCCTTGTCAAGTACAGATGCTGGTGCCCATGACCTCCCTCACACAACTCTCGGGACCCTTGGTTCAGGAATGCAGAGTCTTGGGGGCCAGGGTTGTGGCACAGCAGGTTAAGCCACTGCTTGTGATGCTGGCAACCCATATGGGCATAGGTTCGAGTCCTGGCTGTTCTGCTTCCAATTTCGCTCCATGCTAATGTGCCTGGGAAAGAAGTGGAAGATGGCTCCAGTTTTTTGGCCCCTGCCACCCACATGAGAGACCCAGAATCTTCTGGCTTCGGCCTGGTCTAGCCCTGGCAGTGGTGGTCATTTGGGGAGTGGACCAGTGGATGGAAAATGTCTCTCTGCTCCCCCCACCCTGTAACTCTGCCTTTCAAATAAATAAAATAAATCTTTAAATTAAAAAAAAATGCAGGGTCCGTCCCACCAGGGCACTTCCTTGTGTTTACTCTGTCTTCTGATGGCAGCAGGGTTCCACTTCCTTCCAGACTACAGTGGACTGCCCAGGAGGGACGTGTCCCCACACGGGCAGGGTCTCAGCCTCTGCCTCCCCTCATTTGACTTAGGGTTTGCTAAGCACACTCTTGAGAGCAACTGTTGTCCCAAAATAATTTGTGCTCCTTACTATTTCCAACTCTTGCCATTCTGAAAAAATGACAGAAGCATTTCTCACCGCCTTGTACTCCTGACCACCCCAGCCTCGCCACTACCGCCAGTACTCCAAAGTCTCTGCCTCCTAAGGAAAGCCCCAAGGAAGTGGCTGTCTCGAACTAACCACAAACATTTTCAGCAAAAGGTCCTTCCCGAATGTGTACATCCTTAAATACCAGAAAACAACAACAGTGAGACTGTTTTCCTCCTGGAAAAAATTCCGCATTCTATTCCTGCATGTTCAACTCAGCTTTCTGACCGCTAGGATCTGAAGCAAGTTTTCAAATTGTGCGCTTGCCTAACCACTGAATGATTCTGTTATCCTGGATGTAGCTTTTCTTATGTGGGCATCATCACTCTGTCGGTTTGACTACTTTTCAAGTAACTCCTTGTTATTCTAAAGGGGTCCCAGGAGGCCAGCCCCGCTCCTGACCTCCAGCCGGTTGATGATTTTTTTCTTAATAGCGTTCTGGGCAGCGGCGTTGGTGGCCACGCGGAGGCCTTCGGCGGCTTCTCGCAGGCGCTGCTGCTGGTCCTCGTTCTCCGGGTTGGCTGCAGCACCCTGGCAAGGTGAAAACAAAGAGTGGGAATGGCCCAGAGGGCAGCACGCCACAGGCGCTGACCTCACGCCTGCAGCTTCGGGCTCTCCTAGGAACAGAAAGTGACTGACAGGGCAAGCCCACCACTGTGCACAGTATCTTTCTGATAAAGATGTTTCTTTTCACCACAAAAATCACCTCCCAGGAGACATTTCAAAACTACACGGCCAGACAGTGAGAAATCTGGCGGTATCCACAAGACACTGGGGATCCCTTGGTAATCTACACAAACTATCTTGCAGTCAGAAACCAATGCTTGGAAAGACGTTCAGATAAATCTCGTCTCTATCCATCTGTCTCAGGGAGAATTTTAATTGGCACAAGCACAAAAGTGATATATGTGTCTTCATGTCACAACTGGGACATTCTGTGGCATAATTCAATGTACAAGACTAAGGTTCCAGTATAAACACAGGGGTAAGTGGCGGCAGTGATGGTGGAGGGAGGGAGGCTGGGGAGAGAACAGGGACCACATGGGAATACCACCCAAAAAGACGGTAAGAAGATGCTGTCAAGGAAAGACCATACCTAGAATCCTCATTCCTAGAGAGACCCGTTGGAAAGCCAAGAAAACTATAGCTGGGACCTAAATGCAATGGGTTAGTGAAAGCTGAAATCCTTAGCCTCGGGGTGGAGGAAGGTGCAGGTGCAGCCCTTGGCCATGATCCATGGCCCCTTTACTATGTTGTGCAGTACAAAGTTTCTCAGGAATCTCTGTAGGTTTTATTTAGACGTGTAGGATTCTCTAGTAGGGAAAAGCTAAAGGGAATATAGGGAGAAGACACAATTTTATTGCATAATAATTCAACCAAGACTTAAAGCCCATCCAGACTTGCTCTCCCAACTATCATAAAGGCCAAGATGGAGATTTTTCTCGCAGCCCTGGACGCTTTGCCATCAGTGCTTCGTGCATACAAATCAACAACTTTCTAAGAATGCTGTAGGTCAATACTTTCTTGTACAAAGCCAAGAGAAGGCAGGGAAGACAGCAGAGAGAAGCTCATTGATTTATCAAAAATCAATTTTCTCAATGTCTGGATTTTCCAAATGGCCCATTTGTCAAATATACCAATTTACAAGAACCTATTTCTTTGAGCTCCTTACAAAAGTTACAGCGATTCGTACTGGATGGAGTGGTTTTAACAACCGTGACAAAACTGCCATGGCTATGCTCTCTGAACAGAATCTCCTGGTCTTCAAACTTCACCTGCTTAGAGCTGTCTGCATTTCATGTTTCCAGCAATTACAAGTTTTATTTCTGCATTTTATGTGTGAAAGGACCGCTTGGGCTCCTTTTATATGCCTTAGGAAGTTTATAAAACTCATTTTATTTTTCGGGTCATCAGGTATTTGTTATGCTGTGCCTTCATGGATGCCTTGGGTAGAATGTGAGCTTAGTTTTGCATTTTCAGCAGTTGCAAACCAAACACTTCACAATGATGTGGACGTGCTGGAGCTTCATCACCAAAGTCTTCTTCATGCCAAATGTGTATCGGTTATCAGGGCCTTTGAAAAGTTCATGGAAAATGTGCATCACATAAACAAAAACATATATATTTATTACAAAAACCTTTGCATCATAATAAACTTACCTTTTTTATTCCTTTTCCATGAATCCCTGGAAGTATCCTCATACAGAGTACTAATCTTGGCCAGACTTTTTCCTGATCATGAAATTATTTGTTCTGCTTTTCTAGCCAAAAATTTTCCTGATCGTGAAATTATATTTTCTTCATATTAAATATATCTTTTGAAAATCTAGCCACATTCTTTAGTTATCAATAAAATTCAACAAATTAAAATATTCCAACAAAGTGACTTTAATTAAAAGTCAAAAGAATTTACAACACTTAATGTTGTCCTATCTAATATAAATTTCCAAAGTCACATAAATATGCAACAGAAGCAAGTTTTTCCTAACTTAGAAAACAGTTGGTCTGATTGGCAGTCACCTTGAGAAATAACTGTGCATGCTGGTCCTGGGACAGTCTAGGTTATTTAACAGTAGGTTTGCCCTTTTTGAGTTTTAGTTTTCTTGTTTATAAAAAAAGACACTGACTAGACTTTACCTTATTAGTCTGGCACAGGTAACGTTTTGTAAGAATGGGGGTTTGAGATACCTGCATGTAAACTTAGAAGAGGAAAGAAGGGGAAAAAAGAGTAAAACCTTAAAAAACCATCAAGCAGGGTACAGAACTCTAACAGGTACCTTCTGCTGTCAGACTGGCCCTGGCCCTCCCTCCCTCCTACCTAGGAGAACCACTAGGAACTCTGCCCCTCGCGTGACATCATAGTGCTGCAGACGAGCATGAACCCCTGCGGTGTTCACTGCACATTGCAACCCACGGTAAGGGGAGGATCCGCACACAGGCAGACACCACTGAAGGACAGGACTGCTCTCTGTGTGGTCCGCAGATTGTGTCGCGCCAGCCTCACAGACTTTACTTAACACCAAGTAGGAAGTCTGTGACGTCACCAGGCAACAGGCTCTCCTGCTCAGGGTTTACCGCTGACAGAGTCATCGCTATGCTGGTGCCTGACTTGCATTTGCATGAACTCACCTGCTACTCTGATGGAGGCCTGGGGGCTGGGATGAGGTGTGGAGACATTTCAGGAATCTTACACAAACAGAAATGATGTTTTGTGGAGAAAGCTGAAGGTGATCTTTATCTTCCTTTTTATAATTATTTGCCTTCTCCATTAATTCCACAAGATGTATGTTGGAGGCTTATTTTAAAAATGTATAAAAAATGCCCTTATCCAGTTAAAACAGCTCTCATTCAGAGGTATGCAGCAGAATATGCTGTAGAACACACTCTCTCTCTCACACACTCTCTCTCTCACACACACTCTCTCTCTCACACACACACACACAGTCTCACCTGTGCCCTCCTAAATGGAATCTTTGCAGGTGGGAACAAGGCATGTACTCTGTGCGAGACTATGAAACAGGGTTTTAGAAACATCATGCCATAGCACGGATGTCATCAAGCACAAGGTTCTCTCTCAACTCTTTACTCAAACTGTTATACAAGTTCAATATTCCTAACCTGCAAACCCCAAATCCAAAATGCTCTGAAATCCAGAACTCTCTGAGTGTAACCTGATGCTCAAAAGTTTTAGATTGTGGATTTCTGGATTAGGGATTTTCTATCAGTTAAGTCTATGTGAACGTTCTAAAACCCACAAAAATCCCAAATCTCAAACATTTTGCAGAAGGGATACTCGAACTTATACACTATTTAAAATATCTACTGGGATTTGAAGAACAGTGAGGTAGGAAACACCCTACCACACGAAATCTTGATGGCTATCTGATAAGTCATTTGGAAGGTAAGGTGACACGCAGGCTGCAGGAAGAGAGCAGGTACAGGTAAACTGACTACTGGAGATCCTGAGTTTAAATCCATCACCACACTCCATGCAGCCAATAGTGATGACCCAATGGAGGAAGAGCCCTCACCAGGCAGGGACCCTGCTGAGTTGGCAGCACTGCCCTGATGAGTTTCCTTGACACATTCAATGACTTCCTCAGCAACCTGCACAAGTTTAAAGGCTACAAAGCTACAACAGGTCTTTAAGAAACACAAACACCACGCAGTTGTCCTGCGGGCACTGCAGTGTTCACTTTTCAAATAAACCAAGCCAATGGAATACCTTTGCGGCTTCCACCATGCGGGCAGTGGAGTCGGCCAGGAGTTTTGCTGCTGCCAGGAGCTTCTTTGAATTCTCCATGTCAATTTCAGCCTCTGCATCTGATCTCATGGCATTGACGAGGTCTGACGTGGCCTGAGCCAGCACCCGGGCCTGGCGCACCATCTCACCTGCAGGAGACACAGGGGATACAGCTGTTCATCTGCTTCCCAAAGGCTGGTGAGACCTCAGGAGCCAGTACAGTTTTGTCCCTGTTTCCCCTCGCAAGTGAAATGCAGGGAGCTGAAGCTCCATGCTGTACTCCTGAGCAATGCACCCAAATCAGACCCAGGACTGAAAATATGCCCTGTGGCTGCCAAGGGGGTCCTCCTCAGACACATCCAAGTCCATCCTTCAACAATGAGGGATAAACAGGAGACAGTAGCCAAAGAGCGGCACTCTGCAAAGAGAGGGCAGAGAATAAATGACGTGCATTTACTTTTAGTGAATACTTGTTTGGAAACATTGGTGGGGTGAGCATTTGGTACAGCAGTTAAGACACTGTTCTTACAGCAGAGTGTCTGGGTTCAAGTTCCAGTTCTAATACCAAGTCTAGCTTCCAGCTAACGCATACCCTAGGAGGTGGGGTGATGGTTTAAGTACCCGCATCCCAGCCACCCACATGCGAGACCTGGACTGAGTTCCAGGTTCCTGGCTTTGTCTTGATCCTGCCCCAGTTTTGTGGATATTTGGGGAGTACACCAGTGGATGGAAGGGCTATCTGTCACTCTTTCTACTTTGAGATTTCTAGAAAATTCCCTATAATAAATTCAAGAATGAGCATAGGACAATATTTTTAATTTTGGATTAATTTTCATGCCACCTAACACCAAATGGATTGTATTACATGATCCACTATTTTGGTACCTGGTTCTCACCAGCAGGAACACAGACCCCAGATGCACACTCAGATGCCCACATGTCACTTTGCCTATCACTATTTTCTTTGCATCTTCTTTTCTTCCCTATGCTGGTTTTCATCCTGTATTATGAATGGTTTGATCTTATTGTGTCTGCCATTTTACTGAAATTTCTTTCCATCTCTTTTTGGAAGTGAGAGGAGTATACTAATCAACATTAGAAATAAAACTACTCAGATGTAAGGGATTTCTTCTTCTCCTGGAGGTTGAGTGAGAAGAAGACTGAAGCACTGTGACCTTAAAGTAAAAGGAAAAAGCTCTCATAAAAATCAAAATGTCCTGAACTCAAGTCACTGTCCTGGATGGGATCCTGGGAGGGTAAAGAGACAGCAGCAGCAAATGGATGAAATTCTAATCCTGTCTGCTGCTTACTTAACAGTAATGTCCAGTGCTGGCCTCCCAGCTCTCAGAATTGCACCGTGCATTAGGGAAGATGTTAACTAGGAAGGAAACTGGCATGGGGACTTGGGGATGCTCTGTATTACCTTGGCAGCTTCTTTGTAAATGTAAGATATTCCAAAAGAAAAGATAATTAAAAAAAAAATCAAAATGTGCAGATCACTGCTACTTTGCTAAATCATCTAAGAAGGATATAGAACACAAGGAAATTTAATATAAAAAAAAAAACTCGTTACGCAGGATTTTTCTGTGCTGGTGAGGAAGTAGGAAACAGGTCTTTTAAAAACCACTGCTATGGGTGCACATTGTGGATCCTTTCTAGAGAGAAATTTTGCAAACACATTTAAAATTAAAAATGTATGTACTGGGGCCAGCACTGTGGAATAGCAGATAAAGCTGCCACCTGCTGTGCCGGCAACCCATACGGGCACTGGTTCGAGTCCCAGCTGCTCTACCTCTAATCCAGCTCTCTGCTATGGCCTGGGAAAGCAGTAGAAGATGGCCCAAGTCCTTGGGCCCCTGCACCCATGTGGGAGACCTGGAAAAAGCTTCTGGCTCCTGGCTTCACATTGGCCCAGCTCCAACAGTTGCGATCATCTTGGGGTTGAACCAGCAGATGGAAGATCTCTCTCTTCCTCTCTGTGCCTCTGCCTGTCTACAACCCTGCCTATCAAATAAGTTAATAAATAAATTTTTTAAAAAAAGAGTATTTAGCTATTGGCTCAGCAACTCCACCTAAAGGAATTTACCCTACATATGTATTCTTAAAGGTAAACTGAAAGGAATGCTTATTGTGGTTTCATTCTGTAAATGCAAAACAAACAACAAAAACTTGGATATTACTTAAATGTCTTTTGAAAGATAACTGGTTAAGTAAATCATGATGGTTCCAAAAGTGGAATATTATGCTACAATTTGGAAAATGAACATGTTAGGTGAACATGTAAAAAATTTCTGAGACCTATTAACTAAAAAAAAGTTTTAACAGAGGGACCAGCACTGTGGTGCAGAATAAGTAGCTGGCTGTGATGCCATCAGAGTGCTGCTTCGAGTCCTGGCTGCTCCACCTCTGTCTGATCCAGTTCCTGTTAATGTGCCTGGGAAAGCAGTGAAAGATGGAACAGGGGCTTGGTTGGGTCCCCGCCACCCACAGGAGAGACCCAGATAAAGCTCCTGGCTTCAGTCTGGGCCAACCCTGGCCATTATGGTCATTTGGGGAGTATACCAGTGGATGGAAGAACTTTCTCTGTAACTCTGCCTTTCAAATAAATGAATTTTTTTTAAAGCAGCTGGGACCTCTAACCAGTGCCCATAGAGGATGCCAGTACTGCAGACAGAGGCTCAACCTGCTACACCACAACTACAGTGCCATAAATAAATCTTTAAAGAAAAGTAACAAGGCCGGCGCCATGGCTCAATAGGCTAATCCTCCACCTTGTGGCGCCGGCACACCGGGTTCTAGTCCCGGTCAGGGCGCTGGATTCTTTCCTGGTTGCCCCTCTTCCAGGCCAGCTCTCTGCTGTGGCCCGGGAAGGCAGTGGAGGATGGCCCAAGTGCTTGGGCCCTGCACCCCATGGGAGACCAGGATAAGTACCTGGCTCCTGCCATCGGATCAGCGCGGTGCGCCGGTGGCAGAACGCTGGCCGCGGCGGCCATTGGAGGATGAACCAACGGCAAAGGAAGACCTTTCTCTCTGTCTCTCTCTCTCACTATCCACTCTACCTGTCCAAAAAAAAAAAGTAACAAAATACTTTTAAAAGTTTGGATTAATTTGCATTACAATACACTTCCATTTACACAAAAAGAAAGCAGGTGTCTCTCTCACTTTTTCTCTGTCACACACACACACACAAATGTAGGGAGGATAAAATCTTCTGATCAGAGAAAACTGAACTGGTAAGTGGTGAGCTTTGGAGCTTCAGAGGGCACAGTGATGGGCGGGGTGACCTCCTTTGCAGCCGACAGACTGAAAAGGTGTGTGGTGTCTGTATTTAAGTTGACCATGCGTGGTGATATCCTGACACCTTAAAGAACCTCTTTGCTGGAGAGACACTGCCCTTCCAGGGTTAGCCAGTTTGCATAGACAGCAGTGGGTCCAGGCAGGTGCAAGCCCTCGACATGCAGAACACCTGACCCAGAGCTACCGACCTCCCTCTGGCCCAGACACCCCAGGAGCCCAGATTCCCCTGCCTGGATTGCTGCAGGTAACTCAGTGAGCACCTGTTTAACTTAGAGCCTGCGAAAATATTTAACCTTGCCAATCCTAGAGAGTGTTTCCCTGGCCCTGACCCAGGCTGTCTTCTCATCCTGTTGCTTCCTGAGTCACCTGGGATCATCCCTGGGACCCCATAGAGCACAGGATGACCCCCTCTAGGAGACCTGCATGTAAACTCCACCCGCCTTGCTCCTATGTCCTCCTCTGGCAGCTCTGACTTTGTCATCCCTTACCCAGAACGTGCACTCCTCGAATAAAAGGGATTTGTTGTGCATCAAAACTTTGACAAAAACCAATTGAGGGGCCAGCACTGTGGCATAGTAGGCTAAGCCTCTGCCTGCAGAGCCGGAATCCCAAATGGGTGCCAGTTCAAGTCCCTGCTGCTCCACTTTTGATCCAGCTCTCTGTAATGGCCTGCAAAAGCAGTAGAGGATGGCCCAAGTCCTTGGGCCCTGCACCTGTGTGGGAGACCCAGAAGAAGCTCCCAACACCTGGCTTCAGAGCAGCCCAGCTCTGGCCATTGCAGCCAGTTGGGGAAAGAACCAGCAGATTAAAGATCTTTCTCTCTGTCTCTCCCTCTCTCTGTCTATAACTCTACCTCTCAAATAAATAAATCTTAAAAAGAAAAACAAAACCCATTAAACTCTGTGGAAGCCCTGAAGTGTGGCCATGGAAGCGCTCGTTAGGAGTCCTCTATCTGTGATTTTCAGTGAGGAAGTCTCTGTTGGAGGCTGACAAACACACGCTGCTGTCAGTGACCCTGGCTGCCTTCACCTGTCTTATGGGTGTCCCAGGATCACCAGCCCACGGCCCCCACCCACGTGTGCCCAAGCCCAGCACCTCACCAGCATCACCCATGGAGCTGAAGATGCTCTCGGTGACACACATGATGGTGTCGGTGGCCTGGTCATAGCGGCCGATGGGCTCCCCGCGGCTGGCGAACTGCCGCACGTGCTGCAGGAGGTCGTGCAGGGCCTGGCTGACCACGCTGGCCGCCGCGCTGACCTGCTTCAGCAGCTCGCTGTCGGCAGTGGCCGCCTGGCAGGCGCGGACACAGTTCTCCACCGAGCGGTCCACCAGCTTCCCCGCCTCGATCAGCTGCTCCTGGCACACGGGGGAGCTGATGGTGGGGCTCACGACCTGTGGACAGACAGGGGCAGGGCTCAGGAGCTGCACAGGACGTCAGGTCCCTGGTGTGTCCGGCAGCTCCCCCAAGTCCCTCCATGCCCTGGGCTTCGGTTCCTTAGCAGGGACCCAACTAAATCACGGCTGAGGAGTCTCACACGGCACTGATCTGCTTTGTCTTTGTGAGGTCAGCTGTCCCACTACTTTAGATCTTCATCAGTCAGGCAGGACGATTATCTTCACGGGGAGACATTGTGTTATTTACCAGTGATACCTCCTTCCTTCTGGGATCCTCTGAGTGCAGTCTTCTAAGATGACCCCAAAGAGCTGTACTTCTTTCTCCAGAAGCACCTGGAACTCTGCCCCCGGGACTTTAAAGACTGAAGGGGTCTGCCAGTGATTTACACAGCCCAGCAGAGTGGCCAAGAGAAGCTGGGGGAAACTAGCTGGGGCTGCAAATCCATCAGATAGGGAATTCTGGGCGGAGCCAGATCGCGTCTTCACAACCTCAGAAATCATCAGGTCCACACTTGGACATCTTCCATCTTCCGCTATATCCTCACTGAGTGTTCACATGTGGTGGAGCACGTCAAGACCTGAGTTATAACGCCACTTCTGCCACTTGCTACTTTTGCAGCCTTAACTAGTTACTAACATCTAAGGGGCTCAGGTTCAGCCTTCAGGGGTAATAGTGCGGGACTGGCAGGAGTGCCAGGGAGATCCCATGAGGCGATGCAAGACACACAGAGTGCACACCTGGCAGGAGTCACATCCCCCATGAGACATGCTGCATGGTAGAGAAGGCCCTAGAGACTCTGCAGGTGACTCTAAGCCCATCTGCGATGCAGGACGGCACAGCCCAAGAACTCCGTGTGCAGGTGTAAATAAGACACATCAAGAAGTCCGAAGGGCAGACAGAGCAATTTGCATATAGAAACGAATTAGAGAAAAGTACCATCTACCTGAGGACTTGAGCAAAGAACAAATGATAAAAACAGAATTAGACAGTTTAGGCTAAAATCCCATCATGTCATCTCAAAGAAGACACCTGCAGCAAGCTCTAAGTCTCAGGCTACTTTAACGAATTCTGCCCCTGCTCCTGCCATATGACCACAGCCGCACAAGAGCATGTGACACTGGCAGAGAGGGCTGGGGTGCCAGCTGGCTTACCTTGGCACACGCCACAAGCTGAGAGGTAGAAAGGGCGCATTGAGTGGCAGCAGCAATCACCCTGTTCTGCAGGACGGTGTCTTCGGCCACCTGGGCAACATTCTTAGCCTTCAGCACCAACATGGCAGCAGCGTTGGCAACGGCCTTGGCCAAGCTCATTAAAACATCCTAAGAGAAGGGAATCAAAGACTATTCACTTAGTTTTTCTTAATCATCCCTCACAGCCTGAAAATGAAATGTATCATCCACCTAAATGTTTTATTAAAATTCCATTTGATCTTTTTCCTTTGGCACTGTGGAATATTTCTTTCATTCATTGTGTGAAATGTCAACTTATCCTTAAAGATAATTAAGGAAGGTGACTCGCATCCTAATGATATAATCTCTTACATATCCATTAAGCAGCATAGGTTAGAATAAAAAATAGGATACTTTGAAGGAAGGGTTTTTATTCTAACCACTGATGCGTATTCACGTACTTGACCAACACCTAGTCTTAGCCATGTCTCCCGAGTCTGTGGTCGATGGGGTGGATCAGATGAAGTTGAAAACACAACAGATGAGGCCAGTGCTCTGGCCTAGGTAAAGCCACTGTCTAAAGGGCCAACATCCCATATGGGTGCCGGTTTGAGTCCTGTCTGCTCCACTTGTGATCCAGCTCCCTGCTAATGTGTCTGGGAAAGCACTGGAGGATGATCCAAGTGCTTGGGCCCCTGTACCCAGGTAGGAGACTGGAAGACACTCCTGGCTTTGGATTGGCCCAGCCCTGGCCATTGTGGCCATTTGGGGGGAATGAACCAGTGGATGAAGATTTCTCTCTCTCTCTGACTCAAATAAATAAATATTTTATTAAAAAAAAAAAAAAAAGGAAATACATCCAGAAGCCACAAACACCACATGCTGTAAGGCTATGATTCATGGCCTTCAAGTCATCTTGCTCCACTGTGACTCACAAATTTATCTTTGGATTTTCTCCTTTCTACAAGGATCCAAGGCCCATTGCTGCCTCCAGAGGGCAACGTTGGACGGGCACAGACCAATAGCCAGCCCCAACACTGACAGCTCCAGAACCACAGGATACTCTGAACCTAAGTTAATCTCAGCATTCTGGAGAGGAATTAAATTATAATGGAAACTGAAAAGGGATCCTACATAAACAAACTAGCTGCAAGACAATCTGACTGAAGAGGTAAGGAGCTCTGTGCCTTCAAAGATCAGGATGTGCTCCAAGTCCCTGAAAAGGCACGCTGTTAGCAGGGTGGTGCACCCTTTAATTTAGCCAGCCAGACTCGTCACCCCTCTGTTTGACCTGAAGAACCATCACTGCAGCATTTGCCTGCCTTCTTTGCTTTTCACACTGAGAGGCTGATTTGATTTGGAAATGCCTTCCCACACATCCAAGCCATCTTTATTTTGAACAAACAGGTCAAGGCTTTTCCTGCACAGGAACTGTTGTTGCTAGTCTTTATTAATTCATCAGATAATAAGAAGCACTTTGGATTCTAAACACAAAGGGTGCTTTAAGTCCTTACAGGGAGGTATCTAATGAGAAGACATAATGGAAAATGCGTTCAGACTGTACAATTTTACACAAAGAGTATATGCAATCCAGGCAAATCAGAAACCCAAGAATCCACTAAGTAAGCTCATTTTTAAATGCACAAAACCCAAGCAGTCTTCAGGGAATGGTTCAGTCCAGTTTTTAGATCTGTGATGGTTCCTGGACACCCAAGTTAAATGCAAAGCTTGTGGTGTTGACAGCTGACAAGGCCTCCATCTGCCACATCGTTTTGGGCATTACTCCCATTATAGCCTGCAGAGTTCCAGGCCTTAGATCCCCATCTCAGCACTCAGGGAAAACACAGCTTGAATGTCAGGGTCAAAAAGATTCTCCCTCACTTGCTATGAATCCATCTTTTCACAAAGGGACCAGGATTTGGTTATATAGAATCATCATTGTTCTAAAGGGCTTTGTGAGAACCATTCAAAGAAATTCTGTTTCGATTAATTTCATCCAAAAAAATACAGCTAAACAAACAAAAACAAAAACATGATACTCCGGAGGGCTGCAGTTGCTGAGAAGGCCTTTGTGAACTTGGCAATAAGACCAGCATTATGTAGCCCATGTAAAACCAATCTCTGTTTACTCTGGGAACATGTGGTACACTGAGAACCCAAGAGATGCTCCGAGCTAGGAGCTCAAGACTCAGAAAAACAGAGCAAGAGATCCAGCGTCAGGTAAGCCAGCGGCTACCCATGACCAGGAAAGATACAAATTACTGCACTGCCCTGGTCTCCAGCTGGAGGCCTAACCCAGATGGAAACGTTGGAGTCAAGCCTTTTGCCGGTAAGCAAGACTCCACAGGACCATCACCCTGAACCTGCTTCTCCAGCAGATGCAACAGGAACACGCAGCAGGTAGCAGAGGCTGTATTCACAGTCACTGAAAACTCTGCTCAAGACAAGAAGGGGAAGCTTCAAAGAACACAGGGTGCATACCATCCTAACGTTCTCCTCAATACTTTGAGGGAAGCAGTATTTTTCACGGAAAGTAAGTTGACCAACATAAGATCAGGAAGTCTAATAAACAGCAGCTGAATCTCAACTGGAACAAACTCCTAAGTAGGTATCAGTCTACAAAGAATGACCTGGCCTGCGATCTACACCCCGACACCATCCTGAGCTCTAGCCTCCGCCACCATTGCTGGAAGCCAGGTGGCCACATGGCCCAACCACCAGTGTCAGCCCCATTCCCATCCTAATAGGACTCGCTGCTCCTACTTCCCTGCTCGCCCCTGGCAAAGTTTTAAGAGGACCTGTTCCTGACCATATGTCTCTCTTTTCTGTCTCCTGCTTGTTCTCCCTCTCTCTGGCTCTCAATCTCTCTCTGGATCTCTCTCTTACACTATCCTTCTCTCTCTTTCCTTCTTTACCCCTTCCCCCCGATCTGTCAGGTTTCCCCCAATAAACCCTTTCCCTCAAATAAATAAATAAAGAATTACCTGGCCAACATTAAAATCAAAGGTCAAGGCAAAGGCAGTTAGGGGACCTGGGAGAGAGTCAGGGTGGGGACACATTAGCTTGGGGTTGCTGGGTTATACAAGGATTTGCATGGTCTGCAGGTCTGATGGTGTGATTACCACTGGCCATTTGAGTGTGATAATGGCTTTCGGGAACACTCTGATCACCTCTAAGAGGGACTCACCCCTGCCTCATGACACAAATGCATGTGCACCCAATGCCTCAGTGCACTGTAGAACCCGAATGAGTCTTATGCCCAGAATGACATAGTTATGTGGCAAGTGAGGGAGAAATAAATATATTGGTAATTCAAAAAGTCCATGGATAATTGTATTAAAAGACACGCTTATTTTGGTGCAACAATTTTGAAATCCATGCATATGAGGGTGTCCTTTAAAAGCTCATAGAATATGTTCATTATGAAAAATCAGTACATGGCTTTCAAAATTCTGTTTGCAACAAAATGAATTTATTTTAAAAATTAATTATTTAGGCCGGCGCCGCGGCTCACTTGGCTAATCCTCTGCCTGCGGCGCCGGCACCCCAGGTTCTAGTCCCAGTTGGGGCGCCGGATTCTGTCTCTGCTGCTCTTCTTCCGGTCGAGCTCTCTGCTGTGGCCCGGGAAGGCAGTGGAGGATGGCCCAAGTGCTTGGGCCCTGCAACTGCATGGGAGACTGGCTCCTGGCTTCGGATCGGCGCATCACGCCGGCTGTAGCGGCCATGTGGGGGGTGAACCAACAGAAAAAGGAAGACCTTTCTCTCTGTCTCTCTCTTTAACTCTGCCTGTCAAAAAAAATTATTTATTTGAGAGGCAGGGAGATTAACAGAGATAGCGACAGACAGACTGATGGACAGCAAGCTCCCATCCACTGGTTTACTCCTCAGTGGTCAGTGTTGACCAAGCAGAAGCTTTCTGGAAGCTGGGAACTGGGAACTCCATCCAGGTCTCTCAGGTGAGTACCTAGGACCCAATCTGTTGAGCTGCCTCCCAGGGTGTACATTAGTAGAAAGCTGGAGTTGGAAGAGGAGCAGGACTGGGACTCAGGCACTCTGAAACAGAATGCCTGAGTCTCAAGCAGTGCCTTAACTGTTACGCCAAAGGCTGGTCCCTAAACTTACTTTTTTTTTTTTTTAAGATTTATTTTATTGGGGCCAGAGCCGTGGCTCACTTGGTTAATCCTAAGCCTGCAGCGCCCGCATCCCATATGGGCACCGGGTTCTAGTCCTGGTTGCTCCTCTTCCAGTCCAGCTCTCTGCTGTGGCCCGGGAAGGTAGTGGAGGATGGCCCAAGTGCTTGGGCCCCTGCACCAGCATGGGAGACCAGGAGGAAGCACCTGGCTCCTGGCTTGAGCTCGGAGCAGCGCCAGCCATTGTGGCCATTTGGGGAGTGAACCAACGGAAGACCTTTCTCTCTGTCTCTTTCTCATTGTCTGTAACTCTACCTGTCGAATAAATAAATAAAATCTTAAAAAAAGGATTTATTTTATTTATTTGAAAGTCAGAGTTAAAAGAGAGAGGTAGAGACACAGAGAGAGGTCTTCCATCTGATGGTTCACTCCCCAGAGCTGCGCCGATCTGAAGCAGAGGGCCAAGAGCTTCTTCCAGGTCTCCCACGCGAGTGCAGGGGCCCAAGGAATTGGGCCATCTTCTACTGCTATCCCAGGCCATAGCAGAGAGCTGGATCAGAAGAGGAGCATCTGGTGGGCCGGCGCCGCAGCTCAATAGGCTAATCCTCTGCCTGCGACGCCAGCACCCCGGGTTCTAGCCCCAGTTGGCGCCCCGGATTCTGTCCCAGTTGCTCCTCTTCCAGTCCAGCTCTCTGCTGTGGCCCAGGAAGGCAGTGGAGGATGGCACAAATCCTTGGGCCCTGCACCCGCATGGGAGACCAGGAGAAGCACCTGGCTCCTGGCTTCAGATCAGCGTGGTGCACCAGCCGCAGTGGCCATTGCGGGGTGAACCAATGGAAAAGGAAGACCTTTCTCTCTCTCTCTCTCACTGTCCACTCTGTCAAAAAACAAAACAAAATAGAAGAGGAGCCTCCGGGAGTAGAACCAGCGCCCATATGGGATGCCAGCACTTCAGGCCAGGGTGTTAACCCACTTTGCCACAGCGCCAGCCCCTAAACTTACTTTTTAAGTCCATTTTTCCAATAATTTTTTGGAGTACACTCCAAAAAGATGGATGAAGTGGATGCTGCATGTCTTCCAACATACATGATCACATGTGATTGGGACACTTCTTGTGCTGAGAGATGAACTTTGGCAGTTCTAGATAAAATAGCATGCAAAACCGTGAAGCCCGAAATCTGAATGCAAGAGGAAAGCTGAGTGACCTTTTTGCTCTTTTCACAAGATATTATATAGAATCATTGCCAAAATGAAGCAGTCACACAGGAGTCACTCAAAAGGGCAGAAGAAAGGTACTGAGGGCTGTCAGGTAGTTAATAAGCACACTGTCATTTTTGGGGCTTAGTTCTTATAATTTTCTGGTTTCTCCTTTCTAAACTGATATTTAACTATATATTTCAATGTCATATAAAAATTAAGGATTTGTAAGAAAGTATTAAAAAGTAAAGGCCATGGGAAAGCAGCAGAAGATGGCCCAAACCCTTGGGCTTCTACACCCATGAGGGAGACCCAGAATAAACTCCTGGCTCCTGGCTTTGGATCAGCTCAACTCTGGCCATTGCAACCATTTGGGGAATGAACCAGTGGATAGAAGACCTCTCTGTGTCTACCTCTCTCTGTAACTGTCAAATAAATAAAATAAATCTTTTTTTTTAAAGTAAAGGCCAGTGAAACTCAGCCAACAGATTTCCTCAGCAGTGAACGTGATGTAGGATTTGGAAAAGGGGACCTGGACTAGAACTGCCACCTGCGGCGTAGATGCATTTACATAATTACTTATAAAATTACAGACTTAAAAGGAGGAGAAGAGATAATCATCCCACGAGGACGTGAGATGACAGCTTATCTTGGCTGGAACCACCTCAATCCAGCCCCTGCACCTGGGTCTGGGGGCTGAGAGAGGCAGACAAGCTGAGATCGCGTCTGAGTCGTGGCCTGGCGATGCTGACTGTGGCTACAGCTGTTTAGCAGAGCACCTGCAGCACATGTCCCTGAACTGCAAGAGAGAGGCCACAGAGGAAGCATCTCCAGCAAGCTTGTGGTTTTGGATACGGACACAGAGCCTAGGATCATCTCTGAGAACGCCTACACTGTGCATGGGAGGCTGAGTGTACAGGAGCACACACATTTCCAGGCTCACATGTGGATCCAAGGATGATGCTGTTAGAAACCAATGCTAAAGAGATAAAACCAGACCGGCCAGGGTTGATGACTGCGGAGTCTGGGTGGTGTGGGCAAGGGGACTTAAGTCACAACTTTCCCCACTTTTGTGTGAAAAGAACGCTTGATCTACTGATACACAATCAGCAGGGTGAAAAAAGTGCTTTCCAATGATGACGCAAGGTGGAAGTGAAAGGAGGCTTCTCTTAAAAAATTGGGATTTCTAAAAACATGTACAGAAAAAGACCTCACTTTCAGGATAATCCACCTCAATCTTTCACTTGATAGCTCAAGCAAGATTTGGTTTGTTTTCCGTTATTCTTCTGGCCTAGTTCTCAACTATCACTGAGACGCCTTTCCAGGATTGTGAAGCTCTGAGTATCTTACCTGGAACCGCTCGTCAGTCTCATTCTCTCCGATCTGCCTCAGAAGGTCCCCACTGGCTTGTCCGATGCTTCCAGCTGCCGTTAAAACTGTCTGCCGGGGCTATGAACACAGAACACAACTCGGCTGGAGAGAGAATGCATTCCCCCCCGCAGCGTCATGGACCGTGGCAGGAGAAGAGTCCCCCACGATTAGCTCTTCTTGCAGTAAACAAGACCCTCAAGCAGCTGACCAGGTAGGAGATACAAACCTCCTGGCGAAATTTGTGCAGGCAAACACCCCCTGGCTCATAAACCAGCAACAGGTGGATGGGTTTGAAATTAATTAATTACAAAGCCTCTTTCAGGTGGTAAGAAGGTGAGACATATTCCACAGAAACTACAGTGCAAAGGTACATGCACCATGTGGCTTTAGTTTTCGGGGCTGCATCTAATCATGTCCGCTTGCCCAGCGGCCCTGCACTCAATGAATCCCAAAGGTTAAACAAGAGCTTCACGTCCAGTTCGATAACTCCAAACTACTACACGGTAACATGCCCCATGAAGATGGAAGAAACAGCCCAGAAAGCAGCGGCCCTCCATGCTCCTTCCAAAGGATGCACCTGTCTCATTAGAACCTGAGTCAGCACTTGCCCCTAGGGCTCACCTCTCCAGAAGTCGGCTGCACAGCCTTCAGCAAGTCTGACACTGCCCCAGCAAGGGTCCTCGCTGCTCGCAGGAGGTCCTCCCCGCTGCCCACCTCGTCGTCCATGAGGGCGGCCAACAGCTTCACGCCCTTGGACATCTCGGTCAGGTTGGAAGAAATAGTGGTGATCGCACACCCCACAGCTGTGTAGTCAGTGTCTGCGGGGTCACCTGGGACAGAGAAGGACCCATCACCATTAAAGCAGGAGGGGAAGGGTGAGGAGAGGCTGGGTTGGTCCTGGTGAGAATTTTCGCGGTGGTTCCTCACCCACTATCCTGCAGGAATCAGACCCCGAAGTCTGCAGGAGCACAATGATGGAACTACTCTGTCTGCACTTGAAAAGGTCCTTTATGGGTGCTGGGCCTGATGGTTAAGACACCAATTAAGATGCCACAATCCCACGTCTGAGCACCTGGGTTGGATTCTCCGTTCCAGCTCCCTACTCCAGCCTCCTATTAATGCAGACCCTGGAAGGCAGCAGGGATTGCTCAAGAAATTGGATTCCCACCACCCATTTGATACACCTGGATTGTTTCCAGCTCCTGACTGTGGTTGTAGCTGGGGAACATTGTGGGCATTTGAGGCATGAACCAGCAGGTCAGAGCTCAGTTTCTCAAATTAAACGAAGAAACAAAAAAGGTCCTTTCACCTGCAGGCCTCACACATTGAAACACGGAGAAAGAGCGCCTTTAAAATGCCAAAGGAGGCCTCAGCAGCTCTTGACCCCTTTCATGGGGGCCCTGTGAGCAGGGGCCAACTCAGCTCCTGAAACAGTGTTAGGCTGCAAACCACATCTCCTGGTTCTTACTCGACAGTGCAAGGCACAGAGCCATGCCATGGCAGAGGCTGGTGCTGCCAGACAAGGCAAAGGCACATGGGATGATCTGCTCATTCACAGCCATGGCCAGACCAGAAGCTCTCAAGTGCCTCACAGGACACACGTATGTCCAGAATATGGACCAACAATGAGAAGAGCTAAGTATATCCTTTTAAGAATAATTTTGTTGTTTTTTGTAAAATGTTTTTATTTGGGGCTGGCACTGTAGCATAGCAGGTGAAGCTATCACCTCCAGTGCTGGCATCCCATATGGGCTCCACTTCTGATTCGGCTCTCTGCTATGGCCTGGGAAAGCAGTAGAAGATGGCCAAGTGCTTGGGCCCCTATACCTGCATGGGAGACCCAGAAGAAGCTCCTGGCTCCTGGCTTTGGATTGGCCCAACTCTAGACATTTGGAGCTGTGGATTGAAGTTCTTTCTCTCTCTCTCTCTCTGTCTCTCTAAAACATAAATAAAGCTTTAAAAAATGTTTTTATTTGAGGGAGGGACAGATGCAAAGACAGTACTCCCATCACTGGTTCACATCCCAAATGGCCACAATGGCTGGAGCTGGGCCAGAGCTAGAAGTTGGGAACTCAATCCAGGTCTCCCATGTGGGTGGCAGGGATTCAAATACTTGCACCATCATTTGCTGCCTCAGAGAGAAGCTGCAGTTGGAAGCCAGGGCCAGGAATTGAATCCAGGTACTCTAATGTGGGATGTGGACTTCTTAACTGATATCTGAGCTGTTAGGCCAAACGCCTGCCCCCATAAATATTTTAATGATGATGCATAACAAAGACTAAAATGAATGAGATAATCCTTACATTTCTCCTGGGTCATCAGGAGAAAATGCCTGGAGCACTGTGAGTACCTAAAAATATACTCTCTTCTCATAATAGGAAAATCTGTTGTTTCAATCAAAGAGTAATTTTTTCCTCCAAAACCACAACACACCACAAATCCCCTAGGGACTTACCCGCAGTGAGGTTAACAACTGAAGCCGTTCCAGCTGTGATAGCATCGACTTGAGAATGGATTTCATGTTTGGATTCGTCGACTTTATTCTGAACCCATACCCTTGACGCCTGCAAAGCCAGACATGAGCATGACGCCACCACAGCTCACAATTCCCCGGGAGCCCAGAGACGGAGAGCCACAAAGCACCACCAGCATTTTGGCTGCACTCCTCTTACGAATCAGGCACTCCAGGGGCCCCTGAGTCATCTGAAACAATATCCTTAACAGGCCTCGGGCTCATTAATCAGAGAAGGTGCTGGGCATGCAAATTCTCCCTGGGTCTTATCCTAATTACTATTATGTTCAGCTTTTAAGATCATAGGTAAAAAAAAAAATTGTAAATAGCTCTTTATAGTAATCTCAATTGAAAAAGAATGACAAGGTGGAAAAATATCCATGTCCCACAGTAATCACGCTGCAAATTAACATTACCAGTTGCTGTTTATTTTAACCTTGCGTTTCAGGGGGCTGGGTTACAAGTAGGGTGCTTTGGCTCACAAAGGCTCTCATCAATGCAGGAAGTGTCTTCTGTTCTCAACAAGAACCACCCTCAACATGATGAGGCACCATGCTCATGGCCATGGGGCCCCTTTCCTGGCAAGACTGGGTAACAGGCCAGGCCCCGTGTTCTGAATTCAGCTCTACCACTTACTAACTTGGACAAATTCTACCCAGGTCCTATAGTTTACCTATCTTCCACTGCAGGAACTCCACTGTTTCAGAAAACCTTTCCAGCTTTTATACTTTGTTTCTTTGAACCTATAAATAGCAAACCCTCTATTCTGTGGCATTACAGGAGGTTGCTACTCAGACACTACTCACACTAATGATGATGACCCCACGCTGGGGCACTGCTTCCCCAAATATCTCCAAACAGAGGTCTAGATCCAGGATGTGTCTAGTGCTAACATATTTTATTGCATTCTAATTCTCTGGAAATTTTTAAAGTAGGAATATTAAATCCAAACATTCTGTGACTGTCTAACAGTTTGGTTATGGGAGTTTATCCTATATTTCCACTGTGAAGTTCCCTAAAGCCCAAGGTTGAATGATTTCAGGGACCTGGAAGCAATAGCAACCTCTGTGCTCCAGAGCTTGCAAATAAACATAGCATCCAGGGAGACTTGGAGGGTGGCTGTCCTGCCTGCACAAGATGAGGTTACACGTTCGTATCTCAGCTCTGTCCTCTGTGATAGTCAGTCCTATAGCAGTGATTTGCTGATTGCTCATTAGACTCTCCTGGGGAGAATAAAAATCACGGGTTGACCCTCTCCCCCCTATTTATTTGATCTGGGCCTTAGGCTTTGTGAAGCTCCCCAGGGGAGTCTGGTGTGCAAAGCAAGGATGACAACGACTGTGCTAGCCAGTGCTTCTCAAATAATGGAGCTGGGACTTGGCTACACCGCAGACTCTGATTCAATCGTCTGGATAAGGTCTGCGGTTCTGCACCTCCCACAGGATGCCAGGTACTGCCCGTGCTGCTGGCCCAGAGACCACATTTTGAGCGGTGAGGCATAAGATGATTTCAAGCAGCAGTGGCTACAAGGAAGTCCCTGGGCCACTTCCCCTGCCCCATGGAAGAGTGCCAACAACACTCACCCAGTGGTTCTCTAAGTTTGGGCCCCAGCCTCTCCTATTGCCTGCTGCAAATGCACACCCTCAGACCCTACCCCAAACCCACTAAGTCAGCAAGAATGGAGATAGGGCCCAGCAGTGTGAGTTTCAATATGTCCAGCAGGTGACTCGGATGCAGGCTAAAGTCTAAGAATCACTGATAGTAAAAAAACTAATAAAACAGCTCATGCTTATTGAGCTCTTTAGTAAATGCTAGGTGCTGTGCTAAGAATGCTACACAGGATTCGAACAGCCCACAGCCCTTGTGATGGACGACAAAGCAGAAGCTTCGAGAGGATAAGGTGTCCAGGTTCACACAGCCAGTGACAAGGAGCTGGGATGTGACCTCAGATTCTGAGATTCTCCAGTCCAAGTTGTCAGCCCCCATGAGACACTGCCCATGGCAGTAACACCCTAATAGTCTCTCTTTCTGCAGGTACAACTGACAGACGAGCACTCAATATCTTGGAAAACAGATGAGTTTCCCCTTCACCTTGCTGGAGGTGGGGATCCACTTAGCTGAGACTGAGTGCCTAACTCTGTTTTCTGCCAGGGCTGAGACATGCAATGAAAACGGAGGGACAAGACTTACCATATCCTGGCCAAGAGGCGGCAGTGCGTCGAGCTCTCCAAGGTCATCCTGGGCCTGCTGGACGGCGTGCATACTTGTGTTGATGGTGCCCATCAGGGCCTGCTGGGCTGAGGTCTGAGGAGGTGGAAGAACATGAGGCAGTCACACACACACTCCCAGGACCGCCCTGGCCCTCCATGCATGGCAAATACCAACTCAACCCGAGCTCAAGACACCGCAGTCCAGCATTCAGCTCAATCAGTACCTGGACCTCCTCCCATTTCAACCCAGGGGCCAGAAATAGACATGGCATTGTATTAATAGAATGCAAGAGGAGGGTGATTGCAAGAGGCGTTCTAATCAGACGAGTGTGGAGAGCATAATTAGCTGACAAGGAGGCTCGGAAGGGTCTGTGCAGGGGAACTGGGGCGATTCAGTCCTGGAGTAGTGAGGACAAAAGATTTCATGCACAAGGACACGTGGGAGTTAATGAGCATGCTTCTGCTAAATACTTAAGGATCCCACCCAAGTCAACAGACAGCAAGCTTTGGAACAAATTATTTCTAAGCTTTGGGTCCTAGAGGTTTCAAAATACTCCCAAGACCATGGGATTCCCAAGGGAGGGGGTGGGAGGGAGGGAGAGAGAGGGAGAGAAAGAGAAAAACAGAGAGAGAGAGAGGAGCTTAGTGGGACAGATCAACACCGTGAAGAATCAACGACCCCTTTGCCAAAACGTAAGGACTGCTGCAGACCCAGTCTCTTTCTCAGACTCTGCGAGGGGGATTTGGGTTAGGCAAGCTTGAGACTACTAAGGCAGAGGAGCAGGGGTCAGTCCCTCCACCACAAGTCACAGTGAGAAGTGTCCCATGCTCCAACCATAGAGGAATCCTCTGATTCAGGGCAGGCAGTGATCAGAGTCATGCAATTAAAAAGCAGCAAGTCTGACAGCATGGCTCGGTGGGAGTGACCGAGAGCTCCCCTACAAGCTGTCACAGTGCTAGTGCACGCCTGCACGCCCAAGCAGCACGCTAACACGTGGTGGACGAGCACCAGAAGCCTCACCAGCGGCGGCATGTGGCCCCGGTGCATCTGCCCAACCATGACCTGCTGCTGCGGCGAGGGCATGCTGCCGATGTTGAAGGTCTCAGGCCCGCTGGAGCCGGAGCGCATCACGGCCGGCAGTGCCACCGAGCCGTGCTCCGCCTTCCCGGTCCGGTTGAACTGCTGCTGCAGGATGGTGGACCTGCAGGGAAAGGTGGCTTGGTCACCGCGAGGTGCACACTCACATGGAGTATACCAGGCAGAAGTCACATAAGTCACGTGTGCTCACTGCTTTACACTGCGCAGGCCACGCACAGAACTGGCAATGAGGAAACAGGACAACGTGCTCATGGGAGAGCTCCAAGATGAATCTCTTTGTGGTCAATAGTAAAATTACTCTTGATCTCTCCATCTAATAGGTTCATAGTATTACCCAATTAGCTGTTCTTAATGTTAAAAGACATACATACATATATATATGTATATATAGAATATATATTCTTACAATAATGATGCCCTTGGTTTAAGGGAAGAGTCTGGATACATGGATCTCTTACTTGGTAAAATGTACCTGAAAGAACATTCATTCAACAAACTCCTAGCTCATGCCAGGTTCTGTCCTAGGCATTGGAGACACAGATTCTTGACCCTGAGCCTTAAGGGAGAAAGGTGGAAATGAACGGAAACAGAACTCTAGCAGTTAAGCTTCCCTCTCCTGGCTCAGGACGGGGGCTGTGACCGAGGAAGACGTTCCCTTGCCTCTGGAGCTCTGACTACGTGACCAACTTTGGCACCTTTTCCAGATGACTTCACCTAAATACTAGGTGTCTAACAAAAAAATCAATTCTTTTATTGACTGATATTTTCATAGACTGAATATTAAATGGAAGCAACTCTGACTACGTGGAGGGAAGAAGATTCAGGGCGTGGGACATCATCAGAAGCCTAGTGGGCAGCCCCAAGGAAGAGTGTGGGTTGGCTGTGCATGGGGGAGGGAGCTGTGTGTTGGGGAAGAGGATGGGGGGGTGCAGCTTCATCCAGGGGCAAGGGCCTTTGTCCCCAAACCCTCGGACTATCACAGATCAGGACGAGGCGCCATAGCTCAGGGTGAGGCTCAGAGTCACGTGAGATTCCAAACAGCAGACATCTGTGGGGAAACACTAGAGTCTGCAGAGAGATTGATGGTAGGGAGGGTGGGTCTGTGGGATCCAGCAAGATGTCAGCCGCATTCTGAGGTCTCACACAAAGGTGGAAGAAATGGAAGGTCTAGTAACAGGGACCACTCTGGACCGTTCTTCCTGCTTGCCATGGTCCCAGGCAGGTGAAGATCCCAGTACTCTGGGTTCCAATGCTCACTGCGCTACAGGGTCCTCTGGAGTGAGCAGCTCACTATCAGGAAGCACTAGCTTACCAATTTCCACTAATGGTCACTAGTAAGTCCAACAACACAAGGTGTTTTGCTAGGGACTAGCAAATACTTGAAATGCATCATCACATCAAATTCGTTTCCAACATTCATTTCTCACCCATAGGAGACTATGGAAAAGTATCTTCAGGGTGTGTAGGAAGCAAATTCGAATGAGTAGCTGTAAGGGTGTAAATGCTAAAGAACTAACTACTATAGCTAAGCAAGTTCAATATACTGGAACATGCCAGAAATGTCTGTAGTGCACTACGGGAAGCATCACAATATTTGAATGCTAAGCCTGGCTCTGCCTCATCTGTGCATCTCAACCAGTTTCCACGAGCTTTAGTTTCTTTATTCACAAATCGGGGCAATACTGGGCCTCCCTCTTGCAAAGGGAGTTTCTTTGAAGTCAAATGAGCTGGCAGATTGGATACACACAGGAAAGCATAGACAAGAAAAGTTACTACACTTCTTTACCAGAATAGGGCTGCCCATTACTGGATTCCCAATAAGGATCAATGATTAGATGTTATTTAGTATTAATAAGTCTGTTTCCTAACCCACAGATGGAGCTAACTTAAGACTGTTCTAGTTTTAAATGATGATGATATCAAATACTATGTGCCGAGCATTGTTTTATGGACTTTCTCGGTAATAATTCAATCAACAAACCAAAATCCATAGGGTAGTACGGTCTTCACCCACTTTTATAGATGAGCTGCGGCAGGCAGAGCACAACACAGATCCCAGATTGGAACCCAACTATGCTGGCCCTCAGAGCCTTGCCCTTAACCACTCCCCTGCTGTCTCGAAGCTAGGAAAGCAGGCATGGCATTGAGTACATGTTCACAGATATTAACTCCTCCAGTACCTTTCCCTAAAAGGGCCAGAATCAAAGAGAAGTATAGTCACCAGCTCTTTTATCATAATGACCCAATTCATGAGGTTTACATCAGAAATGCTCAACACCCAGTGCCTTGAAAGATGGAGTTGAAGACCGCACCTTGCTCTCTCCCCATGAAATCCTCAACTACCCAACCAAGACACCGGCAACACTGGCGCTGGTCTGAGGACCCACTTGGAGAGGCGAGCCTTATCTTTACCACCCACGATCTTCTCCCTCCATGCAGTGGACATGAAAGGATAGGCCCCGGAGCTGCCAGGAGGAAACCCACCCAAGCAGTTCTCTGGCACACGCGATACTTACTTCTTCGGGGAAACAGACTCTTCTAACATAGTTGATTCCTCATCGCCTTCTAGTCCAAATCTATCTTTACTTTGTTTCTGGAGGTAAAACATGACACAAAAATGCAAATGAGCTGTTCTTAAGACGATGCAAAAGCCTTTGAAAAGATCTTTTGAAAGGACATGGCAAAAACATGGGGAAGTTTTCCCAAAATTCCTTGTATAGGATATTTAAAAAGTGATGAGTGTATCAAATCCTAACAATAAAATAGAGAAATGCAATATTTAATAGATACATGAAGTCTTCTGTCTTTATTAGGGTATAGGTTTTCCACATAAAAAGTCAAAATACACCAATATTCTATGAGAACTTAGTTAACTGAATGGACTGCCATCTTACAGCCTCAGTGAATTCCTTTCCCATACACCACTGTGACATATAACTGCATTACATCTGGACAGAAAGGAAAAGTAAATAAAACCGCCAGCAAAATGTTTAGCCCGTCATCTGGGTATCTATACACTAGAAGGGTGAACACGGAGAGGAAGATCCTGCAAGATTACTGGACTCATTCATTAGCTAAGTGGCACACCACCGCTCATTATCTGGCAGTAATTGATACCAATATTGCTATAGCAAATTCTAAAATTCTCATAGGATCTCAAAATCAAACACCTCTTAGTCAAACCACCTTAATATCAAAGATTAAATTATGGAAACAAGTATTTCAAATACTATTTTTTTCAAGGTACCCACATCCTCTAAAAAGACTTTTCAGGAAACAGCCTTGCTTTTCCAACCTACATCAATACCAAATACCTTTTTGAGGATGATGTCAATGTAGCCAGCAATCAGTTGAGATATTTGCTCTCCCTCGGTAGTCTGCACTGAATAATAGCTTTCCTGATACTCCCCAAAATCCTGGAAAAAAATAAAATAGCATCGAGAGAAATAGAATCACAACAGATATTCCAGCTGTTTTAAGTCCAAAAGGTCCAGTTCTAGAAAAATATGACAGACTCACTTTTCCCTGTTCTCCCCTCCAAATGCCACCAAAATTTAGTTCCTCCCCTCCAAATGCCACCAGAATTTAAGAAACAGGAAAGGGATCTGAGAACCAGGAAGGTTTATTGGTTGGTGGCTTAAGGACTTGAGGAACCTCCATGTGGTGAGTTCTTGGGTTTTCTTTTACATGCCATGTAGCCCCAAGACAGGTGCATCCCCAGCAGGAAGTTCTTGAAATGCCTGCAAAGTCCAACAGGGACCTGATCAGGAGTCCTGATCCTGGGTGTGGTCACCTGCAGCTGCAAAGCAGTGAAACAGAGCCTGATCAGGTTCCACTCCACCACTCACACAGGTGGGTGGGCGGGTTCCTTTGCAGAAGCAGCCACGTGGAGCTTTGTCTCCCTGCCCCCACCCGCTGGCATAAAGAGAAGCAGGCCCAGCCAAGCGGCTTCTGCCTTCCGCAGCAGAAGTCACACAGCAAGAGAAGGAGGCACAGGGAGCGCCTTCCGCCCTCCTCACAGAATCAACAGGGCTTCAGCAGGAGCCCTAGCAGTGTCAGAAGCACAAAACAATCCAGAACAGCAATGCAAGGGCTCAGCAAATGATACTGTCATTTTAACTAAAGACTATGAAAGCAGGACAGAACACCAGGCTAAGCAAGGTGGGTGCCTGACAAAATAGAACATTTAAGTGAGATCAAGAGTCTCCTAACTTAATAACCCAGACGCCTAGGAAAAATTAAATCACTAATCATAGCAAGAACCAACATGGCCACAAGATGAATTAGAAAAGACAATCAATTAGTGCCAACGGTGAAATAAATCAGATACTGGAATTATCTCGTAAGGACTTTAAGGTAGCCATTATTAAAATGTTCCAGCAGTCAATTATAGATGCTCTTGGAACACAGGAAAATAATAGAAGCTTTCAATAAAAATAGGAGTCATCACTAAAAACCAAATGGAAATTATAGAACTGAAAAGCGAAATAACCAAAGTAGAAAGCAAACAGGATAGACAAAATAGTAGTGCAGTGATGACAGAAGACAGACTCAGTAAACTTGAAACAGATGAATTTAGTTAATCTGAACACCAAAAAAAAAAAAAAAAAAAAAAAAAAAAAAAACACGAAAAAACTAAAAACCAAACAAATAGAGCTTCAGGGATCCAAGGAACAAAAACAGAAGATCTAATAGTACTACAGAAGGAGAGAACAAAGTGAGGCCAAAAAAGTGTGTTTGAAGAAATAATGCTGAAAACTTCCTCAACAAAAGGTATAAACCTACAAATTAAAGAAGATGAGTGATCTGCAAATATAATAAACCTTAAGAAGCCTACAATAAGAATTTTGAAACTTACAAATAAAAGTAAACAATTTTAAAAGCAGGCGAGGAAAATGACATATTCCCTATAAACAAACCCAACTTGAATGACGGCAAGTTTCTCATCTGAAATCATCATCAGCGCAGCTCCGGCCGTTGTAGCCAATTGGGGAGTGAACCATCGGATGGAAGACCCCGCCCCCTTCTGCCTCTCCTCTCTCTGTGTAACTGTGACTTTCAAGTAAAATAAATAAATTTTTAAAAAAATTAATTAATTAAATAAACAACTTCATTTTGTCAAAAGGTGGGGAGTGTAAAGAGGCCTAAATGGAAGTAAGTTTCCTTCCTTCTTAAAGGAATAAAACATGAACAACTTGGCTGTAATCAATCTCAAATATATACGGAAGCATCTAGAATAAACACTATGAACACCACGCAGTAACGTCCAAAAACATGATGATTAAATAAAACGGTCAAGTAGCCCCCAGGAAGACAAGAAAAACAGAGGAAGTACAGGGAACAAGCAGGAAAAAAAAAAAAAAAAAAAAAAAAAAACACAGTATAAAATAGACACAAGCCCTAACATATCAATAATTAGCTTAAATATAAATAATATATAAGAACTGAAAGACAGAGACTGACAGAATGAATTTAAAAAAAAATAACGTGACCCAATTTATTATCCACAAGAAAGTCACTTCAAATTCACCAGTATATGTAGCTGTTAAGTAAAAGAATGGGCAAAGATGGCAAAGGTACACAATAGAAACATTTTTAAAAAGCATGAATGGCTATACCTTTTACAAATAAGGCAGACTTGAGCAAAAAAAATGACTAGGACAAAAGAACACTATATGACCATAAAGAATCATTAAGAATATTATATATGCATTAAGAAGATATTCTAATCTTTATTGTACAGGCATCAAACAATAAAGCTTCAAAATGCATGAAGTAAAAACTACAGAGCCCCAAGAAGCAGCAGAAGAATCTGTATTGTTCAGAAATTCACTCTCAGTAAGTGACAGAATTACTAGACAGAAGTAACAGAATCAGAGGCTGGAACAACACTATAAAAGAGATCCAATCAGCATGTACAGAACCCACTGTACCCCGAAACAGCGAAAACAAAAACAAAAAACAAAAAACATTCTTCTCAAGTACTCCTAGATCACTGACCAAGAATGATCACATCCTGAGACATAAAACAAACTGTAATATTTTAAAAGAATTGGAACCATACAGAGTCTGGTCTCTGACCATAATGGAATCAAACTAAAAATGAGTAGCAGAAAGACAACAGGGAAATCTCCAAACAATTGACTATAATGGAATCAAAGTAAAATCAATAACAGGCAACAGGAAAATCTCCAACACTTGGAAATTAAATAAAGAACAAGAGTAGGAAGCAAAGAAATATTACATATTATAACCTTCAAGCAACTAAAATAGATTTGTATTCTTTTTCTTGAGGTAGTTAGAGATTATCATAAGTATTATTGTTTTCAAATTAATTTTTTTAAATATAGTATTACTTAAACCTATTTCTAAAGCCAATTGCATTCAAAGACATGTTAAAAAGCATAGTGGTCCCTTGTCCTCATTTGCACTTTCATTTTCTACCAAATCCCAAAAGGTTATCACTATCGATTGTCATAGCCATTTAAAAAAAAAGATTTATTTATTTATTTGAAAGGCAGAGAGTTACAGAGAGGCAGAGGTAGAGGTAGAGGTAGAGGTAGAGGTAGAGGTAGAGAGAGAGAGAAGTCTTCTATCTGCTGGTTCACTCCCAAATGGCTTCAATGACTGGAGCTGGGCCAACCCGAAGTCAGGAGCCAGGAGCTTCTTCTGGGTCTCCCATACGGGTGTAGGAGCCCAAGGACTTCGGCCATCCTCTACTGCTTTCCCAGGCCATAGCACAGAGCTAGATCAGAAGTGGAGCATCAGGGACTCAAATCGGCAACCATATGGGATGCCGGCACTGGAGGCAGCGGCTTTACCTGCTATGCCATAGCGCCGGCCCCAGCAATTTCTTCAAGTATGTCAACATGTTCTGTGGCTTTTCTGTTTGAGAAATAATCCCTGAGTTTCTACAATGGAAGATGAGGATGAACACTACTGGACATGCAGGTATGGCTGTTACTGACTATGTTAAGAAAGAGGTACATTTTTAAAGAATTCTTCCAACTGGCATGAGCCCATCCATCAAATTAGGTATCTAATTACTCCTCCCAAGCCCCTTCCTTATACCTTTTTTTTTTAAATAAAATCTATCCTTTATAAGCTACTGCTTTAATATAAGCCCATATTTCAAGTATTCAGACACTCAGGAGTTATAAAGAAATGGACAAATTTCAAAATTTTTTCATTAGTTGTATTATTCAATTTCCCCAAACAAACACCTGCTCTATCAATTTTCACTTATAAATATGGCCACAGAAGCCTCCACACTTGTAGCTAGTGACTGCAAACAGTCAAGTGGGGAGTTTCACACTAAGTCTTTTCGCACCATCTTCCTACTTATTCCTAGGAACTCTGCGAAACAGGTGCATCATCCCCATTTGATGGCAGAGGAAGAGAAGGCTCAGAGAGGAGTGGTAACTTGAACAAGGTCACAGAGCTGGGAAATGACAAACTGGGGTTTCTTACACCACCCCCAAGTCCATGTCCTTCCCTCTCTGTACTATGCTCTTTCTAGGCAGATTGGACAATGCTCCTTAGGAAGATACAACTGGCAGGAGCGTCCACAATCAATGAAGGTGAACAGGGGCCTGGGTGTGGCCTTCTTAGAACACAGAACTGAGAGGGCTCCTGGTGAGTGGCTTTTCCTAGCTAATGAACGAGAGACAGACTTCCATAGGGCGCCAGGGAGGCGGCGGTATCCAAGGAAACCCAGGCCCGCAGTCACCTCTCTCATTTTTCTGCTCATGGACTGGCACCATTTTCTCCCCTCCACACTGGCTCACTGGGACCAGAGAAGCTCAGTGCGCTGGGATCCAGTCTTGCTCCTGCCCCCACACTCTCAGCCAGGGGCCCCACAGTCCTCTCACTGCCTCTGGCAGTCCCTACCAGTGTGAAGCTCTTGGGCGAGGCTGCCCAGCGCTTGACCGTGGTGAGGGGCCACTCCTGCAGCACTTCCTTGGTCTTCTCGTCCACACGCATCACTGAGTCCTTGGTGATGCCCAGCAGGCGAGGCACCAGCTTGTTCTTGCCTTTCATCTTTTCCTGCAACAGGAGATAACCAAGAGTCAGCCCTCCTCCTCTGAGTACATTCCATTTTGCCAAGCAATCAGCAACTTGCCCCTGTTTCACCTGCAGTCAGCCTACATACACCATACTTCAAAACAAGCAAGGCTAACAGAAAACCAAGGTTTTCAGGATAGGTGAGTAACTCACTCAATTAAAGGGATGGGAGTAGCCAATGCCGTGGCTCACTAGGCTAATCCTCCGCCTGTGGCACCGGCACCCTGGGTTCTAGCCCCGGTTGGGGTGCCGGATTCTGTCCCGGTTGCTCCTCTTCCAGTCCAGCTCTCTGCTGTGGCCCGGGAGTGCAGTGGAGGATGGCCCAAGTCCTTGGGCCCTGCACCCGCATGGGAGACCAGGAGGAAGCACCTGGCTCCTGGCTTCAGATCAGCACAGTGCACCACTTGGGGGGGTGAACCAACGGAAGGCAGACTTTTCTCTCTGACTCTCTCTCACTGTCTAACTCTGCCTGTCAAAAAAAAAAAAAAAAAAAAAAAAAAGGGATGGGAGCTACAAGAGATATCAGATGCCTGAAAAGACCTACACAGAGGCATGCTTCCCAGAAGGAGATGCTGATCCACAGAGCAGGTTGTTCCAGAACCCAAGACAGTGTGAGAAAGCAGGTGCAGGAGTGAAGAGATACCTACAGTAAAAGCAGCAAAGGTAAATTCCAGGTGTGATCACTCCCAGTAGCAAACTCAGTGTGTTAGAAAACGGGACTAAGCCAGGATTTATGTAATTTAAAATGAACAACTCTGCCAAAGTAGAATCTTTGCATTATGAGGAAACAGTCTCTTCTTTTTATCTTATTTATTTTAAAAGATTCATTTATTTATTTGAAGGGCAAAGTTACAGAGAGGGAGAGACAGAGAGAGATAATCTTCCATCTGCTGGTTCATTCCCCAAGTGGCTGCAAAGGCAAGGTCTGGGCCAAGCTGAAGCCAGGAGCCATTCATCCAGGTCTCTCACATGGGTGTAGGGACCCAAGTACTTGGGCCATCCTCCACTGTTTTCCCAGGCACATTAGCAGATTATTGGCTTGGAACCAGTGCCCATATGGGAAGCAGGTATCACAGGAAGTGGCTTAACTTGCAATGCCACATCACCAACTCCTATCTTCTTTTTAAAGGTCTCTAGAAACATCTTTCCATTTGTATTCTTTGGCCTAGTATTTTCAGTATCCATTGGCTCTTTTTTTTTTTTTTTTTTTTTTTTTGACAGGCAGAGTGGACAGTGAGAGAGAGAGACAGAGAGAGAAAGGTCTTCCTTTGCCGTTGGTTCACCCTCCAATGGCCGCCGCTGCAGCCGGCGCACCGCGCTGATCCGATGGCAGGAGCCAGGATCCAGGTGCTTTTCCTGGTCTCCCATGGGGTGCAGGGCCCAAGCACCTGGGCCATCCTCCACTGCACTCCCTGGCCATAGCAGAGAGCTGGCCTGGAAGAGGGGCAACCGGGACAGAATCCGGCGCCCCGACCGGGACTAGAACCCGGTGTGCCGGCGCCGCAAGGTGGAGGATTAGCCTATTGAGCCACGGCGCCGGCTCATCCATTGGCTCTTAAAAACATTTTATGATTGGTTTTAATAATGTTTAAAGACAGCGTATTTGTATCTATTAAAATAATAGATCCCTATGTCACAATGATGCTGTAGCAAATTCAAAACAGATTAGTATCTCTGGAAGAACATATAGGTAGACACTTTTCTGATTCCTGGGTGAGAAATGACTTCATAGCAAAAACACTCAAACAAGAAGCCATAAAGGAAAAGATTGATTGCTTTAATTCAAAATCTATAAACACAGATGTTTTGATACATCTGAGACAGGGCAAGAGACCAGGAGCTTGCACAGAGAGGGAGAAAGAGAAGCAGAAGGAAAATAACAAACTCTCACCTTAAAAAAAAAAGCCAACAACTAGAAAATATTTGCAATGAATATAATAGTAACAGACTTCCTATACTGCTTGTGGAGTACTTTCCTAAATCAACAAAAAGGACTATTGAAGCATATGAAAATGTTTTTAAAACAAACTAAATGATTAGCAAGTACATTCTGATTATATTAAATACTAGAGGTTTCTAAAACATTAATACTCGGAGTTGGGGCAAGTGTGAAGGTAGACCACTAGGGATGGAAGAAAAGATATCAAACCTACCCAAAGCCTTAAAAACAATCCTATTTTTGACATGTCATTCTTAAGAATCTTTTCTTCAAGTTACAAATAAGTGTAAAGATTATGACAGAAGGTGGTCAACCATAAGTTATCATAGTGAGAAACTAGAAATTACTCAGATTTTCAGTAATACAGAACTTCATGCATAAATTATGGTATATCCAGATAACATACTAGTCTATAACATTAGTCCTCTTCTAAGAAAACCAGTGGTTTTACACAAATAAGTTATTCACAACATATAACATAAAAATAAAATTATATTTGCACAGCCTCATCCTATGTGAAATAGATACTTGGCCATTACATGAAAAAAATGGTGGCACTGATCGTGTCATATGATTTCTATCATCTTCCTGCCCTTTCCCTTACTTCCAAAACACGGAAATTCACTTAAAACACATGTTTTTGGTGTAGTTAGGAAAAATGCTTTCCACATACTATTTGCTGAAATCTAGGAATACCTCAACTGCAATTCTCAGAGGTGTACACACACACACACACATTCCCCCACACAAAGCACATGTGTACACATGGATGTGTGTGCACACCCTCGACAGGCACAGACACTTGGCACAGGACTGGAGCAAGCCATGTACTTAACAAGAATTATCCATTAATCTTACGACATCGCCAAAATGTTGGTACCATCATCATTTTTCATTTTGCAAATGAAGAGACTATTAAAGTGCCCAAGGCCAATAGCGGTGAGTGTGGTAAAGCCACAACTTGAACATAAATTTGAGTTGCTCCAAGTATCTGTGACTTTGAAAGCAGAAGGTCCACACCACAGCTTTGTGTCTTTGGGTGGACGTGAACAGAGACAAAGTGGACCTGCTCCCATTCCCACAGTCCCTATGGCACTTCATAAACTCAGCCGGAGATGGGCACAGCACATCCGAAGTTCCTCCCAGGAGGTACCGGGAATCTGTGCATAGCTGAGACGGGCAGCCACAGCACTTTTATAGCCTTCTGTGGGGAGCAGCTCGGACTAGACTGTTACTGGAATTAAGACTTATTCTATGCATCTGCTCTCCCACAATATGGCGCTGGGAGAGAAGTAAACAGCTTCCGCACAGCTGCCTCCAGTTCAACCAATTAACTGTAGGACTTGCTCCTGATTGGAGAGCAGCGTACTCGGCGTGTGGGCAGCCGAGTTGGGATTGGCGGAGGAGGACTATAAAGGAGGAGAGAGACGGCATGCACCAGGAACATCTAAGGGGAACATCTAGCTGAAGGAACACCCGTGCAGCCCCCGAGAAAGCCGGCCGGCGGTGTGCCGCTCCCCTGCGGAAGTGGGGAATGCGGCCAGGGGGAACTGCCCTTCCACGGAGGTGGAAGGGATAGTAGCCAACCCGGGAAGAACCAGCAGCAAACCCGGGGAGGGCCGAGCAGACAAAGGAACAGCGCAGGGTCCTGTGTCGTTCCCCCACGAAGAGGGGGAGCGACATAATGGTGCCGTGACTCGGATATGAAGCCTAGGCAGGGCTTAGTGTTGCTCCTCCATGAAGAGGGGGAGCGACAGCCTTCAGTCAGATTCTTTTTAAAAACAGCCAGTTCCACAAGGGGTAGAATCAAGACATGGCAGACAATGACAGTTAATCCAATTTGGCTTCAGGAGCCCTGCAGAGACCTAGGGCGAGAGGCTCTGGGCATCCAATTAAGCTACACGGGCTTGGCACAAGCTGAGCTGTTGGGACCCAGGAAGAGGATCAGAGGTAAAATATGGTCTGCAGCTGTTCCCTTTATGTCCTATCTCGTCTGCACTTCTCCCCACTGGAGGGGATCTGGGATGCGTGGACACAGAATTGCAAAGGACGGCCCCTGACTCTTGTCCCGATCATTCCAGCCTGTGGGAGGAATGCCATGGTGGACAGACAATGGGCAGTGGACATTCCAACAGCAGATCAGGACTGAGTGAAAGGGAATGGAGGGAACTTAAAAAATACTGAAACTGGCACCAGAGCCCACCATCAAAGGATGCAATTATTTCAGCACCTACACACAAAATGCAGAGCAGCTGGAGAAAGTTAAAATAGCACAGGGCTCAGATCTAGAAGGACACGGTAGGATCTTTTCTGGTGCAGGGACTTGCCTTAGATCCTCAGCGCCTGAGATGCCAGAACAGGAACAGAAGATAATTGGGCTCCCTGTCCCATCCTGTGCCTCGGCTCTTGGTCTACCCTACACCTCTCCTTCCAACCTTCAACTACACACACCAGCATCCTTTTACCTCCAGGAGACAAAGGCAGACCACGGCAGGCGCCAGTGAAGACCCATCTAGCTCACATTCTGACACACAGAGGGAGACTGCAGCTGTGATTTCCGCCAGCCTCCCGGACGCCGGCCTCTTGAGGTGTCCCAGTTAGACAGGCTTTGTTTCAAAGATGCCCATGGAGGCAGGAGAAGGCAAAGGAGAGACAGGAACCCCTAATGAGCCCAGCCTCTCCTCTTTCAAACGGGGCTGAACCATGCCTGCAGGCTCAGCCCTGTGGCCAGCGCTGGGCTCTTCTCACAGGTGTGCAGATTGGCTGGTTGTTACATCACCTGTTCCTCATCTAGAAGACTGAGAATGGGGAGGAGGGAGGCTATCCGGCTCTGCTTTTGACACGCTGGGGCTCTTGGCTCCTTGCTTCAAAGTGGCCTAAGCTCAAAGGCTTCTCCTTGCCTATCCAGCCAAGGCTGCTGGAATTCTAGGTTGGCTCTGGCACCAAAGCACACTGGCTTGGCTGCTCTGCTCTTTCTTTAGCATACTACCTTCTTCAGGAGCACGGCAGCAAAGGATGGCTGTACTGGCCATTTTGCTTTTGG